AAATTGCAAAGGTATTTTTTTCAAATATTCAACAGAATCTTATAACCTTAAGACTTCTGATAACTGCAGGAAAGACAAACTTATTATCCTGGACAAGCTGAAATCCCTTTTGAAATTGAATCCCAGCAAATTATCGCCAACCACATCATGCAGCGCCACTATTACAAATTTAAAACGCCATAGATCGTGGCACTCTCCGTCCAAAAACCTTGTAGAAATTAACCAGGTTAGGGTTCTCTTACATAAATAAAGTTTGCTTTTCATCAACCATTAATTTATTGTGTTCACCTTAATACTTATTTGATTGATTTCATTTCTTTATGAGGGTAAGAAACATTCAGCCAGGGGCTGTTTTACGAGAATGACCCACAGAGGACCTTGATGGAAAAAAAGTTACAGCAAATAAATACGCACATTGCAGACCCTAAGTAGCAACACATTCGAGCAAAACAACATTCAATTAACGCACTACTCAAGTAACACTGGCAGGTAACACAGAAATAAACACCAAATCGCTCAGAGTTCGCTAAGCACATGTGCAAAAAAAGGGAAATCTTCCATCAAAAAACGTATTAGATCTGCTCAAATTACAGCTTCGCCAGCATCAGTTCAAGCAAGTCTGACTATGCAGATGAGACACAATGTAAAAACTGGTATAGTTTGCTTTTGTTGAACCAATGCTGCTGAAATTATATACTCCCAGAAGGCCATGGCGCTGATGGGATGTGTACAAATACTTACATTTTCTTACGTGGAAATATAGATGTGAAGGAGGCATCATGTCTTATTTACTTTGTCATCCATCATTGTGACTTATATAACATAACTGGTTGTCTGCCACCCTCAATGAAGAGAGATCATACAGGTCCAAATGTCTTTAAGGACTTTAAGAAATTACCCCCGAGTCTATCTGTATTATTCATTTCAGATTTAAATCACGACAATTTAAGATGTTAGACATGGAGGGTGGTGGTGCAGTGGTTAGCACACTGCACTTTGAAGCTGGCTAACTGACGGTGGCGAGTGAAATCTTAACCGGTCTTGGCCTGCATATCTATATGTGCACCTGTGACTTTTGACCTCTTCATTTTCCAATTTAAACTAAATTCCCTCTCCTCCAAACTCCAAAAGATGTTTTCCCACCCCCACCCCGCTAACCCAAGTGATGCACGAGTGCCTATCTTTTCACCAGGGTTGTGTGGTATGATTTTCTTTAATTACACCCTTTAAACTCACAAATGAGTTATTGGTCATCGCCATAGGAATATGGAATGTCCACCGCTGCCTGTGGGATACCTATGGAGATGAGCGATGCTCCTATTGAATGTGATCTTTTTATTTGAAATATTGGCCGCGTGGCGCTGTCAGGGTGCTCAGCGCACACTTCAAAGGTCCGAGTTATATCCTGACCGGGAAATTATTTAGTCAATCATCCCTTCATTGTCAGTAAAGTACCACTTTGTCGGAGCTAGTTGTCCTATACAGCACCTGGCCACTGCCAGAAGAATGTGGAATTTTCACCGCTGGCTTAGGATCTCCAATGGAATGATCACCGACGAATTTTAACTTTAGCAGCGAGACACTTCGACTGAAACAATCACCCTCCACTGCTTACAAGTATTATAGTTAAAAAACAATTACTAGCGCGTGTTATATGGCACTAAATACTGCAGCCATCGAGAGATCTCTTTAACCCGGCAAAGTAAGCAAACACATTGCACGCACTATTGTTTGCACCTACATTTTAACCTCATGGCGGGACCCCGGGGTCCCGAATAAACGGAAGTCAAAATCGTCATTAATAAATTTATTTTTGGCGACTCCGTACCACCGCGCACATAAACGCCGCGACCAACCTGGCGCGGATCATTCTGTTGTCGTCCAAGCACAGCGAGAACGACTGCGCAGAAGAGCTGAACAAGCGAATGCACCCCATGCTTGGGTATGGGCAGGATCATAAGTCTTATTCAAAGCTACTCAAACTGCCTACACGACTTAAGTCATGTATTTGTCGTAACGGTATGCATAATACAGTGAAACTGCTCTCTTATCTTCATTATTATTTTATGACCTACCAATGTCTGCAGCCAGGATAACTCGATGACGATCCTATTACCTGCAGATATTTAACAGATGAGATGCGTTGCACCGTTAATTCCCCCTGCTTGATAATACTTCTCTTGTCGGTATGCATCTGTGCATAGGGTTTTTTTTGCGGTTAAGCCATAGTCCCCACATACCACTCGTATCAATGCAGATAAGAGGAGCGGCGACCCACTATTTTGTAGAGTAATATTGGTATAAACGCTTGTTACAATATGAACAGCGCATTGAAAACGCGTACTATTTCATGTACTGTTTACAAAGTGTGTTCACAAATCCATTGTGAGAAACACGATGATTGACAGAGGGTGTAAATTATTTTATCGATAGTGTAATTAAAGAGGTACTGCAGGTAAGTCGTTTTCAGTTTAAAACGCATAGTTTAACAAAACAACACTTGGCACCATCCTTCAAATCCATTGGTGAAAAAGAGCAAAGTTTTTGTTTACATTATAATATGTTTATGCCAAAGCCAGGGGCTAATGGGACCCCGGGGTCCCGCCATAAGGTTCATTTCTCAAAATGTAACAATATTTATCAGATTCTGCTATGTGTTTTCATCAGGAAGAAATAAACACGGCACCACAGCAATGGCAATGCGTACAATGGTGCTGCAATAAAATGGTACTAATGTAAACTCTCAATAAATGGCTGAGCTTCTCTAATAACATGCCTTAATGAATTCATACTGTGACAGCTGAGAATCGTTTCTCTGAGTATTCCCAATACGAACATCCCTTGGCAGGAACACATTTTCTGGCAGAAGTGTGAACTCCAGCAGCTAACCCCTCGAGTGCCTTTAAGCTTGCTTAAAGCAAATGTCAATGCATCAATACTCGACGTACTTTAAAGTTTAAACTTCCACAGAAGTTAACATGTATTGGAGTGTAATTTCTTAGACAGAATGTAAAATTAAATGCCATGTTTTCTTCAAGGGGCATAGAAACCAAAAGTCAAATTGTGCGATTATTTAAATAGCAAAATGGAACGTACTCTGAATCTCTCTGCGCGTCTCATGCTTACTTGTGTGTATTTATATTTGAGCATCTCGGTGGCTGCCTCTTCCTCCGTCTCTCTCACACGCTCTGTTTCTCTGTGTTTGCAACTGTGTTTTTCCTCTCTCACAATATATATATGTGTCCGTACAATATAGCTTCTCTCCATTTCTGTGCATCTTTCTCGAACTTTCCATCTGTGTCTAGCTCTCTTTTCTATTTTCGTAAACGTCTGTCTTTCACTTTCTCTCCACCGGATCTCTGTGTTTCTCTCTCCAGTTAATACTTTCCAATTTATTGAAAAAAGTTTTCAAAATGAATTACTATTCAGCTACAAATTGAGTATTCAGCGGAATTGTAACGTGTTATTTGGTGGACCCCCTACAGAATACTTGATAATTGGTATTCAGAACTGTTATAATATAAAAAAAACAATGCAATTTGAAAATGCCTAGATGTATTTCATAAGGAATTGCCGGGTGATTATGAAATCGTTCGTTTTGAGATACATGCTTATAAATATTAATGTGTTTCTGATTTAAAAGTCTCGGTATGCTAATGTCTGACTATTACACGCGTTTACCCAGGAAAGTTTCACTCGGTCCCAAGACTCTTTTCGGACGGTTCCTGAAAAAATATATGATTCAAATCTCACCGGTATGGATTTTAATAGTGGCCAACTAGTGTCAAACAGAATATATTTTTCATGAGAGTTCCCTAAAAAAAATTGCAGTCAGATTCACAACCGATAAGCCGGTGATTGTTGGCGTGGCCAGGACAACCAGCTGGCATATCAACCAGTGTGAGAATCTCCAAATTCACATGCGGTTTGCACAAGTGGGCGCAAGCGGACAACACAATGTCCCACGTGTGTGCAACACAGGCAAGTCACCTCTAATGACAAACCACGACGACTCCCACTCACTCTGCCCCCTGCTGGCACCGTGGGGCCTTGACGGGTTGAAGCTGCAGCCAAGATATCTCTGTCTTGTGTCAGTGTCTTTTGAGCCGGTGATTTTTTGACGGTAGCTATACGGACACATGAAACTGTGAAAAAGGTCAATCAAACGAATCTGTTTCGTGAAAAACCAGCATATAAAACTCGTGTATATGCTGCTGACTTCGTTGTAAAAGCACTAAAGCACTGTGTATATCTAGCGGTTTACGCATGTGTAGGGCAAATTGCCCAAGAGTAATGATTCACTTGATAATTATACGATGGGAGTCACCAAAAGTACAAAGTGTACCATAGAACACCTCTAGTTATCAATCGCAAAGCTAGTCTGGTATATGTTATCACTGCCAAAGCACCATAAGTAGAACAAAGCCACACATTACCAAATTTACTCTTTCGAAAACGGCATGGGGCCGTCTTGCTTGACTTCCCTATTTGCTCATGAATTGGCTGACATTGTTGTTTATGGAAGGAACAAGGATGATGGATTGTAAAAAGACATGAAATAGAATACTGCACAGATGGTCATGAGTCAAGGCCCGACTTGTGCAACATTTAAAGGACAGTTTTGTTCTCTCGAAAATGAGAACCGGACCACGTTTGAAGGGAATTGTAAAAGGTTCGCGTGGGCCATGGGGACACAAAGGAGCAGTAGGGCCAGGACAAAGACGAAGAGCATGAAGATCAGAACACCAAGAACTCAGGAGGACTGGGGTCCATGGCCCCCCAAGCGAGGGGGGCCCAAACAGCAACAGACAGCTGCATAGAATCCTCCCCAAAGAAGCCTTCAATGGAGAAGCTTTGTTGAGTGTTTAGAGCCCGTTCTGGGTGTGTGTTTGCGTGAGATAAATGAGAGAGGGTAGCGAATAAACGAGTGGCAATTGCCCCGTACGAGACGATTAAGTGAACAGATGAGTGGCGAGTGGCTTGTGGCTTTGGGCCCGCACCTGCAGCTGCTCGAGGAGCCGCTCGGCACGGAGGCCGCGGTCTCGGTCCCCACGCAGCTCGGCCTCGTAGGCCCGGAGGGTGGCGGCGAAGCCTCGGAACACGAGGAAGTCCCGCACCAGCACGTCCAGACGCTCCACGGAGCTCGACATGTCGTCTCTTTCTCTCTCTCTCGAGCTGTTTCTACGGTCTCGTGTCCGTGTGTTGCCAACGCGGAGGGAGCCGAGCGAGTGGTTGTGGTTGTCACGGGGTTAATGGAGCCGGATACCGGGGCCTTGTCCGCTTGCTCTTGAGACGTGGCCGCTGTGGACGTGTCCGCCTCCTCCTCCTCCACCACTCGAGGAGACGAGGAGCCTCTTGACTGCTCAGCTCGTCTTAGTAGAAGAGCTGGAGATCAGCTGCCCCACGAGAGCCGCCACCACCACCGCCGCTGCCACAAACAACAACAACGAACAGCAGCGCGGATTGTGCGGAGAGGGCCTCAAATGTGGCCACTGGAGGCGCTGTGACCCCCCCCCCCCAACCGCTTCCCCCCCCCCAACCGCTTCCCCCCCCCCCACCGCTTCCCCCCCCCCAACCGCTTCCCCCCCCCCCAACCGCTTCCCCCCCCCAACCGCTTCCCCCCCCCCCCAACCGCTTCCCCCCCCCCAACCGCTTCCCCCCCCCCCCAACCGCTTCCCCCCCCCCCAACCGCTTCCCCCCCCCCTCAACCGCTTCCCCCCCCCAACCGCTTCCCCCCCCTCAACCGCTTCCCCCCCCCCCAACCGCTTCCCCCCCCCACCGCTTCCCCCCCCCCAACCGCTTCCCCCCCCCCAACCGCTTCCCCCCCCCCCCAAACCGCTTCCCCCCCCCCCAACCGCTTCCCCCCCCCCCAACCGCTTCCCCCCCCCCTCAACCGCTTCCCCCCCCCAACCGCTTCCCCCCCCTCAACCGCTTCCCCCCCCTCAACCGCTTCCCCCCCCCCCAACCGCTTCCCCCCCCCAACCGCTTCCCCCCCCCCAACCGCTTCCCCCCCCCCTCAACCGCGTCCCCCCCCCAACCGCTTCCCCCCCCCCAACCGCTTCCCCCCCCCCCCAACCGCTTCCCCCCCCCCCCCAACCGCTTCCCCCCCCCCCCAACCGCTTCCCCCCCCCCCAACCGCTTCCCCCCCCCCCAACCGCTTCCCCCCCCCAACCGCTTCCCCCCCCCAACCGCTTCCCCCCCAACCGCTCCCCCCCCCTCAGCCTCTTCCCCCCCCACCCCCAGCAATTAATGCCGTCAATGTCACGAGACTTGAAGCCCCCACCCAGATGGTGGGCAGGAATTCGGGAAATTCCACATTCCTATGGCGAGTTGAGATGTTTTTAAAAAACGCTCGGGTTGTAAATGTTGTGGATTTGCTCTCCAACACACCGGTGTGCTGTAGTAGTAACGAATTGGCATGTTTTGTTTACGTGACAAACATTACTAATTAGGTGTGTCGGGTGGTAGCAGGGTTAACGACACATTTATATTTACGCAATCTAACAAAAAAACTCTGTATTATGGATGATATTGTTCGCGAAAGCCTACGTGTTAAACAAATATTGTTGACCTTTCCCAATGTATACCAAAAAAATGACATTTCTCTGTCAGCTTAGGTCTATGATCAAAACGGTGCAATAGACTGTGGTAATAAAGTTAATCACAATACTGCCATACTGGTCCCAGATCTCGGTACAAATCCATGTCTGTCCACCACCCCCTGATCGAGTTGACTTCCCCACAAATGTTACTCATATACGGGGAACAGCCGAAGTTGGTACCACCTAATGTAGCAAAACTTTAGCAGTACCGATGTATGTATACGGCTAATACGAGTACGGTACATTATATAACCCACTAATTTCAACTGGTTATCACATCTACTTTGACTTGAAACTTTCATGACTGCAGGAATTCATATTCTATGGTTCTTTCAGGAAAATTCACGTAGATAGAAAAGACGTGACTTTACCGAAAGAACCATAGAAGAATATGGTTATCACGTATTTCACTATCACTTGCTATGAAAAAATTAGAACCACCAATGTTATGCCACCACAGGTGGTAGTGGCAAGAATCTGGCCTGTGCTCTTGGACGAGTAAAATGCATTACCCAACTCAAAGACTAAGGGGATTAGCTGCATAAAATAATAGACGTGCATGTCCCCCTGTGTTTGGAATATCAGACGATTACGTTGTCTGATGGACATGACCCCAAGACCTGTGCCAATGTGACCCCTCGACTCAGCCGGGCAGTTAAAACTGTGCGGAATGGCCTTTACGAGTTGATTTAGCAAACTTGACACGTTATTCTTTTGTATACTGTATAAGTAATTATTTATCGTGAGCCCAGGAGATTAATGTGACTACTCTTGTTCCTGTCAAATGTGGCATTTTGCAAACGAGATGTCACATTCTGAAGATATTGTCCACGTGAAATATTTTAATGAATAAAAAATAAACATCGTGACCGAGCGGTTTTTATAGACAGGGATTCGTCTACTTGCGAAAGAGTTTCAGGGGTCTGTTCGTAAGTCGATTTGTTCGTAACTACAACTTTATTTCTGTCGATTCCAAACATATTGAACGGCGTGTACACTAAACACGGGGAATGGCTTGACAAGTTATATAATATCCTGTATATGTCGGTGCCACTGGTTCTTCATGTTATGCAGATGTAGATACAACTGGTTCTTCACGTTCTGTAGATGTATGGTTGTTGTTGTTTGACTTGCATCCCACTGGGATTTTTGCACACAGCGTTGGTGTACGGTGTTTTTTCCTGCAATATTTTGCTGTCTTTTCTTGGATTTTATGTTTGCACTTAGTCACATGTTCACTTTAAGATGTTTTTTGTTCATGTTTTTGTTTTTTGTTTGTTGCGGTTGCACCCGATTCAAGTGCCGAATGGCTCACAGGGCTATACCTAATAAATGAACTTGAACTTGATGTAGATGTCGCTGGTTCTTCATGTTATGCAGATGTAGATGCCACTGGTTCTTCACGTTCTGTAGATGTAGATGCCACCACCGACATCTATTGCGCGGCGGTTTAACTTACGACTCTCGGTCCGAACAGGCAAATGTACATACGGCAGGTTTGTTCGTATTTCTGAAAGTTCGTAGGTCGAATGATCGTAAGTAGAGAAGTTCCTGTATTTTATATTTGACCACATCCTCCAATACCACTACGTGCACTTGTCGTTTTGCTGCACTGCTATTGCTGCTATATATATATTAATACGCCTAAAACATGTTTTACCTACTACAAATATGTCTGTAGTAAAAGTTAATTGGCTTCAACTCCTGAATAATTGTAATGTCAGCGGAACTTATGGACTCTCCCTGACTCAAGATGGCGCCGGCGGCTTCCTCTCGCGGTGACGCAACTTCCTGTTATCTAAGGGCGGGGGGCGCACGGGCGCCATGTTTGTAAGGGAGAGTGCGGCGAACAGCTGCAGCAAGTAGTGAAGGTGGCGAGCTCCGAAATGAGTCCCCGCGCCTGTGGCTTCATCGTCTTCAGGAGACTGCGGCAGCAGCAGCAGCGAGCGGCGGTCGAGTTCCTCCTGCTGCAGACATCGTACGGAGGAAACCACTGGACCCCGCCTAAAGGTGTGACCCACGGGGGCTGCCTGTGCGGTGGTCACCTTCACCACCGCAGTCCAAACCCGGACGTGTTTCTCAGCCTTGGTCTGTCAGAACTCTTGCAGTCTCCTCGAATCAAGCTCGACACGGTGCCACCAATACCTCGGTCCAAATCAAATTCTGACACCCGATATTGTGGGCAACCTTAGGATCTAAAAACAAGGAAGCCAGCGCGACTCCAGCACAGGGCACCCAGACAGAGCCGGGCAGTCCTCGGGTTACGAAGCTAATTCGTTCTTGAGACCCGTTCGTAAGTCGAACTGTTCGTAAGTCGGAACACTATACTATAAAATTTAGATTTAAAGCTTTCTTGACCGTATGGATTCATCTTCTTGGTTCTTAAAGTCACGTAGAAGGGAAATAATAAAATTTAAACGTAATATTATTTTATTATGTTTTATTTAAAATAATTAAATGAAACATAACAAATATTTTTTATTTTTATTATTGTATTATTTCCCTTCTACGTGACTTTACCAAAAGAACCAAGAAGATGAATCCCTGCAGTCACGAAAGCTTTAAATCGAAATTTTACAGTATAGTGTTATTTTAAATAAAACAATACAATTCTATTATTTTTTATTATTTCCCTTCTACGTGACTTTACCGAAAGAACCAAGAAGACTATACTGTAATGCACGTTTTAATTGTTCATACGGTCAGTGCTATGAAATGTGTTACGGTTCAACAAAAAGGGAAGCATAGTTAAAACTCATTGGGAAGAAATATTGTTTCATTTGCATGTAACACAAACAAAAACACTGTATAGGAAATAAAACAAAGTAACAAATAAAAAACGGATGCTAGCTTGTAGTCACAATTGCATGAGCAAGAATCGAATTCGGGTCGTCGCTTTCGTAACGCAGCGCACTAACCGCTACACTACCGCTGCCAACACACTCATACTTTAACACACACACATGTCCTTGCACGTACACATGCAAACACTTCCAGCGCGAGGCCAACTCATTACATTACGTGGAGGATTCTCCTCTGAACAAAATAGTTCCGCGGTTCTGTTTGCAATTGCCAGTTCACGTTTTAATTCGAGGTAAATTTCGATTTAAAGCTTTCGTGACTGCAGGGATTCATCTTCTTGGTTCTTTCGGTAAAGTCACGTAGAAGGGAAGTAATAAAATAATAAAAATAAAACATAATAAAATAATTCTCACGACGTTTCGGCCACAACGCAAGCAGCCGTCCTCAGGTGAAGAAGTAAATGTTTTTAATTTCATGTAAGCTGGTTCGTAAGTACGGATGTGCGTAAGTCGGGCGTTCATAACCCGAGGACTGCCTGTACAGAGGACCCAGATAAAGGGGTCTCTGTAGGAGGGGGGCTGATGAGTTGTGAGGAGGTAAAGACAAATTACCAGTGATGGGAAGTTAAGATTGCACGTCTAGATTGTTCACGTCTGGACACAACTCACGTGCATGTTCGTGTGCTTGCAAGTTATCTTGAGAACTCACAGGGCAGTTGTAGGAGTATTATGGATGCTGTGTTGTGTTCTCCCTGGCCCATTATAGCAAGGCCTTGCCCTCTTTAAGTGATGCCTTGCCCTGAAAATTGACACCTGGCCCTTTTCCTTTGACTCATGTCCCTTTTTTTGAGCAGCCATTCAGTGGTTGTTGCCCATCCAAGTGTACTTTGCGAACTTGGAAACGTATACTGCTAGTGCCCTGACATAAAAGCTCATAACACCTTAGATATGTGGAATGTGAGCAGACGAGAATCACAACGTGGCGTTCTGAGACAAGTTGACGGCACAGGGATATATGAAGACAAAATTGAGAGCTCGTCAGGCATCGTACACGAAAAGCCACTGTATTGTAACGTAATGGTTTGTGTTGTTGTTGTTTGGCCCACAGGACATGTGGACCCGGGCGAGAACGACCTACAGACGGCCCTCCGGGAAACTCACGAGGAGGCTGGACTGGGATCTGAACACCTGTTGCTCATCCCCGGGTTCCAGCACGTGATGCAGTACAACGTGCCCAAGCGCAACGGCGGTGGCGTCAACCTGAAGACGGTGGTGTACTTGCTGGCCGAGCTGAAGGGTGGCACCGAGGGCCAGGCCGTGACGCTGTCACACGAACACGTGGCGTACCGGTGGTGCGATGTGGACGAGGCATGCTGCTTGGCCAAGTTCCAGGAAATGCAAGAGGCCCTTAGGAGTGCGCACACGACCATCGTCAAAGAAGACGAGGCTGGGACTCTCAAACAAGAATGAATGGCAAACTTGACCAGGAGTGATTCAGTGCTCAGATGCATTTGCACACATGAAACATTAAACCGTGGTAAATAAATGAGGAAAATTTTTTCTTGACTTAAAGCTTTCGTGACTGCAGGAATTCATACTCTTTGGGTCTTTCGGTAAAGTCACGTAAATAGAAGAAAAAAAATCACGACGTTTCGATCACAACGCAAGCAATTGTCCTCAGGTGAAAAAAATATTTTAAATATTTTTTCACCTATTTTTCACCTGAGGACGATTGCTTGTGTTGCGATCGAAACGTCGTGATTTTTTTTTCTCTCCGTTAATTTACTGAAAAAGTATAAAGGCAAGCTGTTTTAAAGTTTTAAAATGGGCGTAGCCCAAGCGTTCTGGTATCAGAACGAAGTGATATCAGAACGAAGTGATACCAGGACGCTTGGGCTACGCCCATTTTAAACCTTTAAAAGAGCTTGCCTTTAGTGGCTCCCCCCCCCCCTTTTTCCACCTGATGATGATAGCTTGTGTTGCAATCGAAACGTCATAGTTTTTGTTTATTTTATTATTTTTTTTAACTTATCTACGTTGCTTTACCGAAAGACCTAAATAATATGAAAATGTATTCCTTTGTTTTGAGTTGTAAATTTGTAATTGGTTAACTGTTTTAAAGCATTATCCGGGAAACTCAATGTGGGGTTTCCAATATGGCAACACCAGGGCTCCTTATGAAATCTGTCATGCTATTACATAACCAAATTTGAACTGTGTTTGACAATGAGTGGCAATGTGTGAATGTAATAAACAGTTTCAGTTGTCAGTGGTTTCAAAGAGGAAAGTTACATGGTTCAAAGAAACTTAACATTTTTAAAAACTATACATTGAATTACACGCAAACTTTCACTCATTGCTTTGAATTTGTATATATTTGCAGCAAGAGTTTATTGGTTTACCTCTAAGAATTTGAATGTCTAAACGTGTGTGAGAGGAGAAACACGACATCTAAAACTGCAGGTGTACATGTAAAAAATTTCTAGTTTGGTTGTGTGCTCGTATCAAGTTTTTATTTTTAAATAAAGCAAAGAGGCCCCAATGGGACCCAAAGTAATGCTGAGATAATTTGTGAAGATGCAATTGCAAATTACGTTGCACTTAACATTGTTACACACCTAATGACTTATGGTTGTTTTAGACATCCATGAAAACGGTTAATATGCTAGCCACTATCTCTACATGGAAGTGCACTTCTCTATGATGATGAGCACTCGTACATTCACGGTCAATAATCCCCACTATCCAGCATCAATACTTAGGCCTGCCATTAAATAAAAACGTGTTGACTATCACACTTGTCAAAGTCAATACACGTTTCAAATGGCAATGATATAAGGAAGCGGTAAAATACAAAACAATTGGGATTTGTTATAAATGTGTCATTTTTATGGTGTAAGAGGACAGGAGGAGAAGAATTAGAGGGCATTGGTCACACCTTATATTTCAATTTAAAACTAATATCAATGAAGCTGACGAGTTTTACGTATCTACTCCTGGTTGTATGTCAGCATTGTACACCGTACACTAAAAACAAATGCAGTGTTGGTGTTGCCAAGTGTTGCAGCTTCAAAAATCTGTCTCTACGTGATTCTCGTACACCCCGTATTCACTGTCTCCATCTTCATCTGATGTGTCCATGTGATTGTCATCCAACTCCAGCAAAAATGACTCCTTGGCTTCAGGCCTATCGCGCTCTCGCTGGTAGAAGAAGTTGAAGTTGGACACAATAACAGGAACGGGCAGTGCCACCGTGAGCACGCCCGCGATGGCACACAGAGAGCCAACAATCTTTCCTCCCAGTGTGATGGGCCGCATGTCACCGTAGCCCACCGTGGTCATCGTCACAACGGCCCACCAGAAGGCATCTGGGATGCTCGTGAAGTGCGAATCGGGGTCATCGGCCTCCACAAAGTAGGCGGCACTGGAGAAGAGGATGACTCCAATGAAGAGGAAAAAGATGAGGAGTCCCAGCTCCCGCATGCTGGCCTTCAGTGTTTGACCCAGGATCTGTGCAAGGCATTAAAAGCGCATCTTAAACTTTTTACATTTTCACTGGCACAGAATTGAATTGAGAAATTCAATTGAGAAATTCAATTGAGAAATTCAATTCTACATTTAACCTAAGCAAACACGTCCATGTACATTTGTGTTCATTAGCCGGTGCTCCAAAGGTAAGTTTACCACTGCCTTCAATGTGGCTGTATGAACACCATACACAGTCACATTTTGAGGGACTGTTTTCTTTCTGTGAGGTTGTTTGAGATGCTGGTACGTTTAGATGCTACCTACGTTTACATTGTCGATGTGCGTATGTGTGTAAATGTGGTGAGTGGTAGTTCAGTGAATCAGACACTGTGCTACCAGTGAAGCGAGCTCTGTTCCCAGACATGTACATCGGTGGAACCGGGTATTTGAACCTGTTCCTGGCATCCTCTAGGTTAACTAAACCGTACATTATTACCAGATGCGGCGTCAGCACTAAGGAGCCGAAGGTGGCCAGGTGTGGTGCTGACCACACACTACCTTGTGTGCTCAATAGGTTACTTAGCGCCCACAACAATAGCTGAACTATCGCCCACAACTGGTTGGAGACGTAATAATAAGTGTTTACAACAAACCATTTTATATACGGTATACACAATGTATATATCCTGTACTTTGAACATCTTTCGCATCGTACGTATCCAACCGTGCAGTTCTATAGAAATGAGTTTTCAATCTAGTCTTAAAAGCGCATAGCTCCTGTGGCTTCCTTATACTGTATCCGAAAGCAGAGCGTTCCAGACGGCTGCAGAAGCGCATCTGAAAGCGCGCGATGCGGTGACCGTCTTTGTTCGATGGCTCGCCAAAAGCCACGTAGTTGAATATGAAATACAACTACGTATCGTATTTAATTGTTGGTGCCTGTTCCACCGGAAAAGGCAAGGGAAATAGGCACCGAGGGTACGGGGCAGGATGGGGTCACGGATGTGGAAAATGGGAGGCTAAGTGGAGGACGTTGGGGGGGAGATGAGATTTGTTGAGCACAGACCAATTGGCCTATAACGTCAAAAGACCAACAACAAACAGCACTCTCAAAGTTGTACAGATGAAAGCTAACACGTTTCTGGAATTGAGAAAGGTTATGCGAGCTTGTGAAAAGAGAATCCCAAATTGGAGCGGTGGCTATGGGAGATGCGTTTGTGACCTGCAGTGTGGTGAGAGTGTGTGGGTGATTCGGTGAGTGATTTGCTGTGACCTGCAGTGTGGTGAGATTGTGTGAGTGATTCGGTGAGTGAGTTGTTGTGACCTGCAGTGTGGTGAGAGTGTGTGGGTGATTCAGTGAGTGATTTGCTGTGACCTGCAGTGTGGTGAGAGTGTGTGGGTGATTCGGTGAGTGATTTGCTGTGACCTGCAGTGTGGTGAGAGTGTGTGGGTGATTCGGTGAGTGATTTGCTGTGACCTGCAGTGTGGTGAGAGTGTGTGGGTGATTCGGTGAGTGATTTGCTGTGACCTGCAGTGTGGTGAGAGTGTGTGGGTGATTCGGTGAGTGATTTGCTGTGACCTGCAGTGTGGTGAGAGTGTGTGGGTGATTCGGTGAGTGATTTGCTGTGACCTGCAGTGTGGTGAGAGTGTGTGGGTGATTCGGTGAGTGATTTGCTGTGACCTGCAGTGTGGTGAGTGTGTGGGTGATTCGGTGAGTGATTTGCTGTGACCTGCAGTGTGGTGAGAGTGTGTGGGTGATTCGGTGAGTGATGTGTTGTGACCTGCAGTGTGGTGAGCGTGTGTGGGTGATTCGGTGAGTGATGTGTTGTGACCTGCAGTGTGGTGAGAGTGTGTGGGTGATTCGGTGAGTGGTTTGTTGTGACCTGCAGTGTGCTGAGAGTGTGTGGGTGATGAGGTGAGTGAGTTGCTGTGACCTGCGGTGTCGGTGATTGAACAGTGTGGATGAGACGAAACATTAAGTCGAGTAGAGACAAAGCCCTCAACATGGGGGGAGGAGGATGATGAGAATTCAACGAGCAAAGTTCACGGGAACGGTAACCGTGGCAGTAGCGACAGAGATACGGGACTCTGAAAACAATGTTAAGGGCATTCATTCCAATTTCACACGTAGGCTTTCGAGACCAATATCCATAATACAGGTTTTTGTGGGTTAGATCGCGTAAATATATAAATGCGTCGTTAAACTCGCCACCACCCGACACGGCCAATTCGTAAGGTTTGTCACATCAGCAAATCTTTCAATTAGTCACTACTTCAGCACACCGGTGTGTTGAAGAGTTAACCCACAGCATTGGCTGTGTCGGGTGGTGGCATTCATTCCATGGAGCAGAGTGGTCGCTCTTAAGCGCCGCGTACCTGGAGGCCCTTGGAGTGGCGTGACAGCTTGAATATGCGGAAGACGCGCACCAGGCGCACCACGCGAATGATGGCAAGGGACATGGTCTGCCCCCCACTGCCACTGCTCCCGGCCCCGGCCGCCACTGTGCCACCACGACCGCTGTTCCCGGTTACGCTGGGAACGCCACCGGCTGGAACGATCTCGCTGATGCTGTCCCCCGTGCCTGGGCTCGCGGTCGCCAAGGACGTGGCCACTGAGCTGTACGCGTGTGTGGTGGTCGCCGTCTCCGAGACGTACTCTGGCACCATGGACCCCGTCAAGTCGGTGATGAGGGTGATGAAGTACGGCAGGATAGCGATGAGGTCGATGACGTTCATGAGGTCACGGATGAACGTGGGTTTGCACGGGCAGGCAATGAGCCTGACGATGAACTCGAACGAGAACCACACCATGCACGTGGTCTCCACCAGGAAGAATGGGTCTATGACATTTTTCGTGTCGGTGGTGTTGCCGGCAAGCCCTTGCTTGAAATGGGTTTCTTCCTCGCGGAATTCGGGCAACGTCTCCAAGCAGAAGATGACGATCGAGACGACGATCACGAACACGGAGACGATGGCGATGACCCGCGCGGCATTGGAGCTCTCGGGCGACTCGAAGAGAAGCCACAGGTGGCTGTGGAAACCGCGTGTGTGGACCGGCATGGCGTTTGGGTTCACCAGGTCCTCTGTGGGATCCATGCCTTCTTCTTCACGCAGCTGTGACAACACCTTGTCTCCCAGGTCAAAGTACCTGCAACGATTGTTCCCATGCACACACACGTACATCGAGGCAGGGGTCACATTTGAATGGGTATTACCATTTAGCGACATTAAGTTGAAAAAACGTCTTAACATCTGAAATGTAATTAGCATTTTATTCGCTGTATTTTAGGACCAGTATATGGGCCCTTGTCCATAAGCATCTGGCAGTTTACCAACATTGGTTAAAGTAAGCCTGACTGCTGATGAGACACTGATTGTCAAAACCAGTCCACAGCTTGCATTGTGTTAACCCAATGCTGATTAAATGTTCACTCCCAGAAGGCGGTGTGGCTGATTGGATGTATGATTGATTCATTTGGAAAGAATGAGCAGGAAGAGCGAGTGGTGGAATTGTAAATGTTGTGGATTTGCTCTCCAACAAACCGGTGTGCTGTACTAGTAACGAATTGGCATGTTCTGTTTACGTGACAAACATTACTAATTGGCTGTGTCGGGTGGTGGCGGGTTTAACGACACATTTATATTCACGCTATCTAACCCCCAACAAAAACTCCATTATGAGTGGTGGAATGTTCTAGCTCAAAGGAAGAGGTTAGCGGCTTGGTGAAGATCTGGGAGGAGGAGACCTGTAAATGCCCGACGAGCTGTGTTGTGGAGAGGGAGAACTGGAAGAGTGTGGAGATGTGATGCCTGTTTAGTCGGCGACAAGACTGAGAAGATGGATTTGGACACACTTTTTTATTTTACCAGGTAGGGCCCACTGAGCTATATAGGTATTTTTCAGAAGCGTCCTGGCCATAAATGATAGATCAACAAAGTGGCTTATCATGTGGAAATTTATAGCAGCCAAACACTCTTCACGCGTGTTTCTAAATGTGTAGGGGAAAACCGGAGCACCCGTAGAAAATCCACGCGACCACGGGAAGAACAAGCAAACTCCAAATATACAGACGTCAGGACCTCCTGTATACCACGCGAGGTAGTTAACATCTCGCCTCCATGGCGCCCTTAGAAAGAGTTGTGTAATGTCAAAAGGTATGTACAACATTGTTCGTGTCAATAATGTACAGCTCTCTGTTGCTGTGCACGATTTTTAAAAAGTGTGTTGTGGCTTAAAACGTTACAATGGTTTAACTAATCTCATTCAACTCCATGGACAATTAATGCGAGGTCATGAAGTCATGCAAATCCCATAGCTTGCTTGGAGTCTCTATAGAACATTTGGCAAGGGTCACCATTGGCTCTGGCCTGCCAATGAAGATGGACACCAAATTACGGTTGTTTGTGCATGAAGACACCTTGATTTGTGACTAAGAATATTATATATTAATGTCCTAACGTTTGATTACAGAACCCAAATGCTGGCAAGAATTCTGTCTTGGGAATATCACAAACCGATTCAAATTGTGTCAACTACACGTGTTACAGGTTCCATCATTCGTGGGGCATTTAAAACGTCTGCAATGCCTTGGCGACGCGGATAGGTTGGTGCGCGCTGGTCGAAACTTTCAACTATTTTCTTTCCCTGGCTCTAGCCTGTCTATCTCTAGTAGTGTCTGCTCCATCTCTGAAATCCTCCTTGATGTCGAGCCATGTTTTCTTGGACATCCTCTGGGCCTTGTATTTTAAACAATATACATATTTCGCGCAACATTAAACGGGATTGTTTGGATTGCTTCGTAGAGTAATTATCCATTGAATGTCGCATTTATCACGAGTGGGAAGTCGCGCTTAGTGCGACCACGTCGGGATGTGCTCAAATGTGAAATCTTTTCCATCGCGTCCTCTCACCTGATTTCATCCCAGAAGATGTCGATGGGCACCATCGTGGGACGCTGGAGTCTGCCGCTCGACTGGTAGAAATGCAGGATGGCAGCGAAGCTGTCGCGGTGTCGCTCGAAGAAGTACTCGTTTTGCTGCGCGTCGTAGTGGCGCGCAAGACGGTGCTCATTCCCGAGGAGCGTGGCCGGGAACCGGGCCAGCGTGGCCCTTCGCGTCTCGAAGCGCGCGCCCGACACATTGATGCACACGCGGTCACCCATCCGCGCCTCCGTGCCGCTGCCGCCACTGCTGATGCCGCTGTCCAACGCCAACGTCTCAAAGCAGCTCTGCTTGAGAGCCACGTCGCACTTGAGTCCCGCTGTCATCCACGCGCCGTCGTCCTCGGTGCGCACGAGGCTCAAGCGACCTCGTGCTGCGCTGGCCACCGGCGAGCCGTGTTCCATGTCACAATGCCTCCCGCCCCCCCCCCCTCTCTCTATCAATTGCCTGGGCGCACGTAATCTCCGGCCACGTCAGTCATCTCTTATTATGCGTGGCGCTGCACGCCATCACCTGCTTGCCTGTGTGTTTTTTTGTCGACAAAAGCCTCGTGCTCGGTTTGAGCTTTCCAGCAGGGTTGTGGCCCCTTTCAGCTGTTGTGTACTTGTCTAAAAAAATATATGTATCTTTGATAAGTCTGTCTTAACTTCTCAAACTTAATCCATTCTAAAATAGGTGAGATTTTATACAAATGCAACGAATGAAAAAGTTGCTTTTTATTCCAGATTGCCAGTTCTGTATAGCGTCTGGTGACAACTCAGTAGATTTTTTAAAAATAAAATTCCGTCTTGTCACAGTTTGGTATTTTTGATCAAAATAAATTTCAACTTACGCTTGTTATTTCCATAATTATTTGCGAACAATGAATGCGCGTTTTGTTGCTTACTAATCGGCTGCCTTCAAACCGGCCACTGATATTCGAGAGCGAGCAGACCTCGAGATAAAGCTGATACCGGTGACGTCACGTGCGTGTGCGCGCATCACTTTTTGCTGATACGAGAGTGGTATACCATTGCAGCGCTTGCATAATTCATTCGGACGCTAAATTTTTCAGCTGCCGTATATGGACACGTTCCGTAATTGCTCGGCATTGTCAGGCGTTTCTTTTTTTATTGCAACTGGTGTTGGAAATTCATTGATACAACTTTACAAAGGATTTCACATTTAAGCCATGTCCGTCCGTACGTGTCGAAGCGCACTTGGAATGGCACAAGCGCTGAGATGACGTCACCGCCACTTATTATTAATAAAGACAACATTTGTTTTCACACCATTGGAACCTCATTTGCCAGTAAAAAATATGATAATTGGTGTTTTACCCTTCTATCTGGCAACAAGACTGACGTAAAAAAGGTGTCAGTCTTGTTGCCAGATAGAAGGGTAAAAAACCAATTATTATAACATTTGTTTTAATATGGTCTCCCCAGCCTGTATGTGGCAATTGTGAAAACTCTCCTATAGTGTTTCCCCTGGTTTTAACAATGCAAAGTGGTTATTGAATATGTGTTTCTGAAAATGGAATTGTAGTATTTTTTATTTATGTACCACGGTAGCGAGATGTTAATTATCTTGCTTGGTATGCAGGGAGTGGGTTCGAGCCCGACCCTGATGTCTGTATATTTGGAGTTTGCATGTTCTTTCTGTGGTCGCATGGATTTTTCTCTGGGTCCTCCAGTTTTTCCCTGAGCATTTAAACACATTGCTGCTATAAATGGCCACATGATAAGCTATCATTTCTGGCTTGGTAAATAAAAATATAGTTTAGTTTATAGACACTCCATAGGAGTCCAGTTTACAATAGAAGTCCATATATAGAAGTCCAGTTTACCATGAAAGTCCAGTTCATTATGGGAGAACAGTTTACCATGAGATTCCAGTTTACTATGGGAGTCCAGTTTACCATGGGCAGGGCTCGGCAACATGTGGCTCGTGAGCCGCATGTGGCTTTTTAATGATTGCTTCATGACGTTACTTATGAAGGACCGTCTCGTAATCGCGTGAAATTGCCGCTCTTGAAATAATGATTTTTTTTTTTTACCGAATTCGAACAAAACGGCTCTTCTTGCTATTTTGGTTGCCGACCCCTGTCCTAGAGAAATCCTCCCAATACAAATTCTCAAAATTGTCCAATGTAAACCACCACATGTAGTGGTTTGGGACTCGTAATGACGAGTGCCTTTTTAAACCTACAACTCACAAATCAACACTTGTCTAGCTTTTCATAATGGGCATCGCCACTCAATTATACACTGGTGACTATCATTATCCACATATTTCTAATTGCCACAAAGACCCTACATTGATTTATGTGACGAGGTGACCGGTCCTAGACTTAAAAACCACTGCTGAGAAAAGTAGAAATACAGATGCTGTATTATATTAATTATTGCAAGATGATAGTTTAAATCAATTTTGATATATTACTAATATAATTTACAGCACGTTATCAATCAACTATTGGATTAACTAGTCCACTTTACATTTGTTATGGCTTTTAGGATCCCTTTGGCCAAAATAAAACAACAAAAAACCCCATAGTTAATTGGTTTCCAATTGCACATAGAAATGGTTATAAGATCATTGGTTTTAAGCTCTTAATAAAAATGTTCATCGTGCGTTTAGATGTATGGGTGTCATTAAATAGTTCCATGTACATGGGAGCATGTGTATACACGTGTGTGTCTGGATCAGTTGGGTATATAAGTGTTGGGTTTTTGCCTTTTCAGCTGGTCATGGATATTTGAGTGCTACAGTTGATATGAAGGGTGACAGAGATATCAAATTATCACGAGACAAGATATATAAGAATTGTTAATTAAAAATATGAACCATGTGGACGGTATTATTTTACAATTTCCCTCCGTGTTGCAGGTAATCGGTGTTTGTGTGTTACACAGTGCTAGATTGCTATTATTATCACACCTTCAAATGTGACCAAAAGCACATGTTAAAGCCATGCCCTCGACAAGCTGACAAACATATTGGCATGATTCCAGCCACAAAACACATTCCTGCGGAGGGAGCTGGTAGGAACGTTGGGTTGCTCGGTCAATGGCCAGGGTCAACGGCGGCATGGTGTATTCCGCAAATTTTCCCGACTGTGAGAGCGGGCACAAGCCGGCGTGAGTAGGTTAAACGTTGTTTTATAAGGGCACCACGGGGTGACCATCCCCTCCCCACCTAGTCCCACCCCTCCCTCCCACCCCCCACCCAGCCCCACCCCTCAGCCCCTCCCCACCCAGCCCCTCCCCACCCTCCCCACCCAGTCCCTCCCCACCCTCCCCTCTCCACCCAGCCCCACCCCTCCCATTTTAAGATGCACGACGGACGGACGGACACAATAATCCCATGTGGGCTGGTGTAACCAGAAGGTTCCTACCAGTAAAATCGTTTTAGCTGTACAAGGTCACTTCATGATAGTGTTGTGTGTGATTGGATTTTGAGTCCCATCGCCCCACGCAGGTTTTGCACCTTTTGTTTGTGGTGTAAAATTATATTCTATATTTGGATTGCAACAGTTGCAATAAAACACACTGACACAGACTAGAAAAACAGGACAATGCATATGAAACCCAGGAGACGCGGACCCTTTCCCCACCAAAAAATCATCACCCCAGCAGGTTCCCAGCCTGTCTGTGCACAAAACAATCATCAGCGCCGTTGTGGGAAATATACGTAACAAAAGAAATGAACAGATAATACTACTCTTCCTCCCCGTATCTCTCATTGCACAAAACAACACGTGTCCACTACTGTAACTTTTTTACACATCCCATCAGCTACACAGCCCTCTGTGAGTGTATTTTTTTCCCAGCACCATTGTTCTAAGACAATCGATCTCTTGCGCCGGTCTCTGAAAAACGATCTGGATGTTGGAAGTTGTATTTTAAACTCGGGTGACGACCCACCCAGCCTCTTGCGTGGGGGGGGGGCGAGATTGAGTGGCATGACCAGAAGCTGGACTCTGTGAGAAGGAGCTGCGCAGACTGCTGGGGTGATAGGTCCACATCCTGACCACAACACCCAAGTGGAACAGTGGGTGGTCCAGATGTCGCGTGACTTCAATTTAATGCTGTAAAACTTCATTATTTTTTTTAAACAAATTAGTGTGAAAACAGAAATGAATTAGCAAAGGAAAAAATGTAAGGGGTCAATTAATGGGGGGGGGGGGGGGGGGTCACGAGACATCTGGAACACCCTGTAGACCGACGCACCGGGCGTCACGGGGTAGATGAACCCACAGTGGCAGCAGTGGCAGCAGCGAGGCTGACTCGCAGCTGACCGTGGTGAACGTGCCTCGTGGCGGTGGGCATTGATACTCTTAGGTGTTTTCGGCAAAGTCACGTAAGTAAAAATAAATAATGAAAATAAATAATAAATATAATAGAAAATATAATCGAAATAAACTAATAAATCAAGACGTTTCTGATTTTTTTTTCCTACGTGACTTCACCGATAAAACCTAAGAGTATGAATTCTTGCTGTCACGAAAGCTTCAAATCTAGGGGGACATTGATGACCAGGAGTTGCCACACAAACATCATCAGCAGCAGCAGGAAGACAGAGACCGTGCTGGCGAAGAGCAAGCCGAGGGCCAGCATGGGACAGCTGTTTATCAGAAGTAATCCAAATGTTCACCTGAGATTCGGCGTTGTGTGTATAGGGGGTGTGGATGTACTGTTGGAGAGTATTGGAGATGGGTTTACACGTTTCTTGAGGGTGAATAATTCATTAATCATCTCACCCCGACGGAATTGTGTTGGCATGATGGAGTGGTGTGCCGCGTGCCGCTCTGTGTCGCCATTCCGCACGCAAAAGTTGACACCTTGACACTCAGCTTGAGACTGGAAGCACAGAATGATACTCTTAGGTTTTTATTATTTAATTTATTTTTACCTACGTGACTTTACCGAAAAACCTAAGAATATGAATCCTTGCAGTCACGAAAGCTTCAAATCTAGCACAGAATGAGCCACCGTGCCCTCCCTCTCTGTCAGCGTTCCATGTGTAATGACGACTTGCCACACTTCTCTTGAGATGGCACTTTACTGAAGACACGTTCACTTGACATCAGGCGGAGACCCCCACTGCAACAGCCCCGAGTCTCCCACGCATCTCCCTTATATACCAACCAAGGCCACGGCCCCCTTTCCGAACCTTCTCGCTGACTCTGGACGCTCGCTCCACCGTCAGACTCCACCGTCCTGTTCCATCACCTGACCACGCTCCCCTTCTCGATCATTCCCGTAGCCACCAGTCCCTTCGCACTCACAGCTGATACCCCTGTCATTCAAGGCCGTAATTAGAATATATATTTGGGGGGGGACACATCCCCCCCCCCCCAATATTCAATTATGCTCAAAATTCCCCCCCCCCCCATATATTGCTATAAAATAGATTTCTGTTTATATGATTGTGGTTGTGGTTGTATTATTAGGTTTTTTCGGTAAAGTCACGTAGGTAAAACATTAAAATTAATAAAAGTATAATAAAATAAAAATCACGACGTTTCGGAAGCAACACAAGCTTCCGTCTTCAGGTGGAACCGTCACAGCCACGACAGCTGTATCAAGTAAATGAGAGATTGCAAGAGCTACCACTCCGTATATATAATGGTTGGAGAGGGGGGAAGGGCCAAGTACGGCACACTTTTTATTCATATGGTAAGGTGAGGCTTAAGAGGGTGAGCCTTTGTTTTGGAGAGGTACGGTTTGTGACTAAACCTGGCCTACATAACAATAGTGTGAAAAAAAGTTGTGGTTGTACTTTATTAATCCCTAATCTCTGCCATTGCATGCAATGAAACAAGAAAAAGTAAAAAATTAAAAAAACAGAGCAATGTAATTCAATACACTATTAGACGTTATTGTAAAAATAAATAAAAAGTCCATCCTATGTGTAGGAAATGGCACGAAATTCGTTTTCTAATTTAGATTTTTTTTCTTTTCTGGGGGGTGACCCCTAGACCCCCTGGAAGATTTGCCCCCCCCCCCCCCAAAGTTGACTCCATGGCTAACGGCCTTGCTGTCATTACCTCCCATGCCCACGAGTCCACTCACACCGCATGCAGGCCCTATTGCCATTACACACGCACCAAGGCTTTGATATGATCCGCCACAACACGAGAAGCCGACCTCCCAACACCACCCCGAGTTCCAACCCACTGTGAGCCATTCCCCAGCCGTTGGAATGACAGAATAGGATATTGTGGTGCTGAATTGCATTTTTTGTATAAAAGGGGCGGATTTTTATGCGAGAGCAGTCGTCATTCTGCCAGAGTGGTGCAATAGTGGCCGCAATAGTCACACAGGGCCCACTTGGACATTTCAGTTGACACCCAAGTGGGTGTTCAGATGAAGGTGGTTATAATTGGTTTAGCCATGTTTGTTTGTTGTAGTACAGAGTTAGACTGATGGCCTTAATCTAAGCTGTCTTGTGGTTGTTGTTGTTTGACTTGCATCCCACTGAGATTTTTGCACACAGCGTTGGTGTACGGTGCTTTTTCTGCAATATTATTGCTGTCTTTTCTTGGATTTTCTGTTTGCACTTAGTCACATATTCACTTTAAGATGTTTTTTGTTCATGTTTTTTTTGTTTGTTGCGGTTGCACCCGATTCAAGAGCTGAATGGCTCACAGGGCTATACCTAATAAATGAACTTGAAGATGCCAATTCCCGTATTGTCAACCGTGGCTGGGCTATGCCGGCGCGGTCATGGCAACCGTGCGTTGCAGGGCGGCCATCTTACCTGGGGGGGGGGTCGGTGTATATGTAGGGCGGCCATCTTACCTGAGGGGCTGTATGAGTCGGGCGGCCATCTTACCAGGGGCCAAGGGGACCGTGTGTATGTAGGGCGGCCATCTTACTAGAGGATGGGGTGTATGTAGGGCGGCCATCTTACCAGGGGCCAAGGGGACCGTGTGTATGTAGGGCGGCCATCTTACCTAGGAGAGCTGTGTTAGTCAGGCGGCCATCTTACCAGGGGGCGGGAGTGGACCGTGTAGAAATAGGGACGACCATCTTACCAAGGGGTCTAAGTGCGTACGAAGGGCGGCTTTTTTTTACCCCGGGGAGGAAGTTCCATGTGACCGCTCGGCGTGACGTCACGGCGCAACGGGTCACGTGACGACGTGAGCCCGTCGGACAACCGTAACGTCACATGACGTAACGTAGAATGAGTCACGTGACCGCGCTGAGGCCCGAGCGACAAGGCCGAGAACAACAACGAGAATAGAGCGGAGGAGGAGGTGGTGGTGAGGAGGAGGAGGTGGTGGTGGTGGGGAGAAAGACGAGGAGAGAGCAGAAGTCGTGAGAAGACGAAGCGGAGGGAAGAGCAGAGGAGGAGGAGGAGGAGGTGAGCCCGCATTCCTCACCCGAAGGACGCTTGGCTTGGTTAGGGGGAAATCGGGGGTTGTTTGCGGAGAGGAAAACCCCTGGCGCACGGGCGAGAGAGACGGGGTCAATGAGATACATCCACACACAGAGAACAGACACAGTGACACAGCCCCTTCTAGAGTAGACAGAGTAACACAGCTCTAGAGTAGACACAGTGACACAGCTCTAGAGTAGACACAGTGACACAGCTCCCTTCTAGAGTAGACACAGTGACACAGCTCCCCTCCAGAGTAGACACAGTGACACAGCTCCCCTCTAGAGTAGACACAGTGACACAGCTCCCCTCTAGAGTAGACACAGTGACACAGCTCCCCTCCAGAGTAGACACAGTGACACAGCTCCCCTCTAGAGTAGACACAGTGACACAGCTCCCCTCTAGAGTAGACACAGAGACACAGCTCCCCTCCAGAGTAGACACAGTGACACAGCTCCCTTCTAGAGTAGACAGTGACACAGCTCTAGAGTAGACACAGTGACACAGCTCTCCTCTACAGTAGACACAGTGACACAGCTCCCTTCTAGAGTAGACAGTGACACAGCTCCCTTCTAGAGTAGACACAGTGACACAGCTCCCCTCTAGAGTAGGCACAGTGACACAGCTCCCTTGTAGAGTAGACACAGCTCCCTTCTAGAGTAGACACAGAGACACAGCTCCCCTCCAGAGTAGACACAGTGACACAGCTCCCCTCTAGAGTAGACACAGTGACACAGCTCCCCTCTAGAGTAGATACAGTGACACAGCTCCCCTCTAGAGTAGACACAGTGACACAGCTCCCCTCTAGAGTAGACACAGTGACACAGCTCCCCTCTAGAGTAGACACAGTGACACAGCTCCCTTCTAGAGTAGACAGTGACACAGCTCTAGAGTAGACACAGTGACACAGCTCTCCTCTACAGTAGACACAGTGACACAGCTCCCTTCTACAGTAGACACAGTGACACAGCTCCCCTCTAGAGTAGGCACAGTGACACAGCTCCCTTCTAGAGTAGACACAGTGACACAGCTCCCTTCTAGAGTAGACACAGTGACACAGCTCCCCTCTAGAGTAGACACAGTGACACAGCTCCCCTCTAGAGTAGACACAGTGACACAGCTCCCCTCTAGAGTAGACGCAGTGACACAGCTCCCCTCTAGAGTAGACGCAGTGACACAGCTCCCCTCTAGAGTAGACACAGTGACACAGCTCCCCTCTAGAGTAGACACAGTGACACAGCTCCCCTCTAGAGTAGACACAGTGACACAGCTCCCCTCTAGAGTAGACACAGAGACACAGCTCCCCTCTAGAGTAGACACAGTGACACAGCTGCCTTCTAGAGTAGACACAGTGACACAGCTCCCCTCTAGAGTAGACACAGTGACACAGCTCCCTTCTAGAGTAGACAGTGACACAGCTCCCTTCTAGAGTAGACACAGTGACACAGCTCCCTTCTAGAGTAGACACAGTGACACAGCTCCCTTCTAGAGTAGACACAGTGACACAGCTCCCTTCTAGAGTAGACACAGAGACACAGCTCCCCTCTAGAGTAGACACAGCTCCCCTCTAGAGTAGACACAGTGACACAGCTCCCCTCTAGAGTAGACACAGTGACACAGCTCCCTTCTAGAGTAGACACAGTGACACAGCTCCCCTCTAGAGTAGACACAGTGACACAGCTCCCTTCTCGAGTAGACACAGTGACACAGCTCCCCTCTAGAGTAGACACAGTGACACAGCTCCCCTCTAGAGTAGACACAGCTACCTTCTAGAGTAGACACAGCTCCCTTCTAGAGTAGACACAGAGACACATCTCCCCTGTGGAGTAGACACAGTGACACAGCTCCCCTCTAGAGTAGACACAGAGACACAGCTCCCCTCTAGAGTAGACACAGTGACACAGCTCCCCTCTAGAGTAGACACAGTGACACAGCTCCCCTCTCGAGTAGACACAGTGACACAGCTCCCCTCTAGAGTAGACACAGTGCCACAGCTCCCCTCTAGAGTAGACACAGTGACACAGCTCCCCTCTAGAGTAGACAGTGACACAGCTCCCTTCTAGAGTAGACACAGTGACACAGCTCCCCTCTAGAGTAGACACAGTGACACAGCTCCCCTCTAGAGTAGACACAGTGACACAGCTCTCCTCTAGAGTAGACACAGCTCCCTTCTAGAGTAGACACAGTGACACAGCTCCCCTCTAGAGTAGACACAGTGACACAGCTCCCTTCTAGAGTAGACACAGTGACACAGCTCCCTTCTAGAGTAGACACAGTGACACAGCTCCCCTCTAGAGTAGACACAGTGACACAGCTCCCCTCTAGAGTAGACACAGTGACACAGCTCCCTTCTAGTGTAAACAGTGACTCAACACCCTTCCAGCGTAGATACTAACAGCACCATTCGAGATTAGACAATGACACATCACCTCCCAAAGTAGAGGCATTGACACAAGAGAATTTCCCACTTTTTTAAATTTACCCCGGAATATTGTGGGACTTTTTTTCAAGACAGTCCTGCCAAGTTTGCGTAGCAGGGGGAATGATTGATGTGTACATTGCATTAAAATTGAGGAGGTGGCACGTGTATTAACAACGGGTGATGGATCCGCACTGAACAACTCGGGCAGCCGCTGGAATCCAACCGTGGATCACTGCAAGAACGTTGCTACCATTAGACCTTTTCACCGCCCAATCGTGAATTCATGTTTGTGTATTCGTATGAATGTGTATGCAGATTCGTGTCCAAGTGTGTTTGTGTTGGCATGCACAAGTACGTACTGTTTATGTATTGGTGTGTATGAGTGTGAGCAGATTTTGGTGCACATTAGTTTTTTGTTTTGTGAACCTATATAATCGATAATGTATTGTATGGTTATGTATTGGTGTTATATAGTTGTAGTACGCATACATGTATTGGCTTTTCCCACTCCAGACATCGCATTTAAGAAGTCGATTGTTTTCCCAAGTTGCTGTTTTTGTACATTTATCATGTGGCTTTTCTCTGTTAACACAAATATTAACAGCTCGTTTTTGCATGTTTTTCATCCACTTTCACCCACAGGATACTCTACTCGGGGTGTTACCAGCCTCATGAGAGACTCTGAGAAGGACACAGTGCTGGACGAATGCTCGTGTGTCGTTTGCCACGGGGAACGTGACCCCGGTTTAACGATGGTGGGAGCGGAGGAGCGGGTGGGTGAGGACGGGCTGCAGGCTGCGTTCAAGCGGCTGCGCGTCGATGCTGAACAGTAAGCCCAGCGACCTCCCGTGCTTTGCCTTACGGAATGTGTCATGTGGTTCACGGATGCATTATGTGCTGCGTGACATTCATGTGTTGCGTATTACCAACTGATACCTATGTTGAACTTCTTTCGCATCATACGTAGCCAACCGTGCTAATCGGTTGATGAGTATTGAAACAGTTGATGAGAATTGAAGCAGTTGATGAGGATTGTCCTTTTTTCTGTGTTTTTAAACTATATCGCAGGGAAAAAAAAACTAACGGAAGTGGACAAGACTGCAGCATTCAAAGTATAGCTCCGCCACTTTCACCGACTGCTCTTGAAAACAGGCAGAGGTAAGGAAGTCGGAGAACTTGAATGATGATGTATGAAGGAGGTAATGAACGAGCCTCTGCGCTGCACTTCAGCCCGATTGATGTGGCCCCATTCATTGAAGCCGTCAATATCCATTACATTTTTCCATGAGCAATAAGCAACCTTCAAGCAATGCTATGCCTTAGGATGGGTCGGCAACCAAAAGAACAAGAAGAGTATTTTTTTTCGAATTCAGTAAAAAAACGCAATATTTTAAGAGCCGCAATGCATGTGACTAATGTCACGCAGCAGTCCTTAAGGAGCCGCATGCGGTTCCGGAGCTGCAGGTTGCCAACCCCCGCCTATGAAAATATATAGTTAATTATACTTTGTGGTACATGACCTGAGTTATGGACATTAATAATGTATACGTTAATTTAATAATACGGATGGACTTGAAGATTGAGAAGAATATGGGGAAAGCTCCCAGCTGAACCAAAGTTTAAAACCCTGTGGGAGAATCTAGTCGTGGTTTTAGTGACCACATGAATGTGTTCACCTCATCTTCCTGATGGAGATAAGTGGCAGGTACGGTGAGCACTCAATCCATTTGTGCTTTAGGATTAAACTAGGTCATATAATGTGCAATGCAGTGTGTCTCAGAGCAGGGCAACCATGCAGCCTACATGCTCACTGTTTTATGTGGCAGTTGCACGTGCACGCACAAACTGCATGGGCAGCTGTGGAGAGTAAAATATATTGTGCAAGGAGAAGTGATGAATGAATTGTGATGCTAACAATGAGTAACACCAATGTGTTTGCCAGGAGACCGTGTAGATCCAACAGAGCTCGCCCTCGACGTCGAAGATCCAAGTCGCCCATCCTTCACCCACCGAAGTTCACCTACTTTAGTGCTGCAGCACCAAAAGCAAAAACATTTTTTGTGAGAAATGGCCGGCTGGAACCTTATCCGCATGTCGGGGAGCATCGTGATGTCGGTCTTGCAAATGAAAATGCTAAGCTCGAGACTGCGACCGCAGACTACGTTGCAGTGAAACCTGACGTGACAGTCCCAAATGTTGTGGCAGATGAATCCTGTTTGACTGCTAGTAAGTTCATTGATGCCAATTCAAAATACGTGAGCACCATTGATGGAAAAGTGTTTGAAGCGCCGGCGCTACAAAGCCTTCCAGATTTCCACCGGCTTTCTGTAGACTCAACATTGGGCGCTTTAACGAGTGCAGAAGGCGATGGGTCAGAGGTGTATTCCTTTACTGGGCTGCGAGAGGCAATTTCCTCAACAGAAAGCAAGCCTGAAGACAGCAGTGCTTCCTCCCCAAAGAAGCGCTCACGCTCCAGCCACAGTTGTTCCACTTCACCAGTGCCCTTGCCTCCAAGCTCGTGCTCAGAACAAGCCCGAGTCGTGGACGACACGACGATCGAGGACCTCTCGGGATACCTGGAGTTGTACCTTTACCTTCCGAAGAAGATGTCCAGCATGGCTGAGATGATGTACACGTAAAGCTGTCCTGGTGCTCCCTCTGCGTCTTCCATTGTCCAGTAAGCAGCTGATTATTGAGCCAGTTGCAGATAAAATGACAATTGAAAATGCTGTGGTAAAAAAAAAATACTTAAATGTCAATTGTGTGCCTAGCAGCATACTTTACCTTGAGAGTAATATGAGGCTAGAATTAAATAACCAATAAAACAAATCTGTCCATTATTATCGCATTTAATAAACTGATGGGATTTACTGTGAGAAGTATTTGCTTGTCATGCAGATTACCGATTGGGTCTTTAATGTCAGAGGGCATTGTTCAGTATTAATAAAGGTAACGAATGGATTTCTGATGCACACTGCTCATAAGAAAACTATTTGCTTGAAAGATTAAGAGATGTCTCATAACGGGCAACCTCCAACATGCTGAAGTACACACGTGGATCTGTCGCCATGTACCTGTTTGTACTTCCTGTAATTAAAACTTGGACCTGGTGTGAAGACTTTACTGCTAAATTAAAAGTGCCATTTTATAATGTTTTATTTCTTGACCTCCTGTAGCATAGACCTCCGGCTGTGAAACTTCATGCCTTTGACTTCGTGGTGCTTTCATGATAGGGCTCATTGCATGCCAGTTAGGTTAGTGGTGAGCGCATTTATGATTAAGCTGTCAAATGGCTTTAAAGAAATTAGGCTTAATGCTAAATACAAATGTTACAAGCCCACCTTATACCCAATTTATGTTTACATTTTTATTTAGATTTATATTAATATTTGCAAATTGGCATGTTCGCAATGGATGGGTTTATATTCTGCTCAAAATGTGGATTGAAATGGAACAGCTGTGGTGAATAATATCTTTGAAACAACTTTTTCGGTATTGTTTACAGTCGGCGGACATGTCAAGCATGATAATTATGGTATTTATTCAGCAGCCTGCTACCCATGTTTCATTATATCCTCAAGAGAGATTTTGCATTCATAGGTGTTGGGTGTTGAGTGTTGGCAAGATTTAGCTGATATGTACATTATCTGTACATTGGTATACACATCACGTGAGCCCACAGATTTGATTGTAACTTATTGCTACTGAATAAAATGATACTTTTGCATATACTGTGTTTGTTTGAAACTTGAAAAACACCTGAAAAAGAGTAATGTTTTTGTGTTGATGTGACATCACAATGGGTTTTAAGCCCTAATTTGAATGTAAGTTGTAAACAGGTTTTGATACAGGAGCAGTGATATGGCCCAAAAGGAGTGCGTTCGCTGCTTTTTGCAGCGGCACGCGATTTGATTCCGGTAGGCCGCCTGAGTTATTATGGTGTGGCATCGTAAATACACCCCTTTTGTTTCAGTGGAGTTTAAAGATTCCCTGACGTAAGTAGAAATGAGTATGCCTTTGTGTGCCGGCATTGTCCAAATCTGTCAAATTCTAAATACTTCCCCAATATTACTTAATTGGTATAACACATGGCACACCGTCGCCCCATACTGGCAGACTAATGCTTGCTTCCAGACCAGGTCCAACGTCACCTTCCGCTGGGAGCGTCCTTTCAACCGTATTGAGATTTGTTAAAGCACTTTAAGATGCTTTCGCGTGGAGGAGGGTGCAATATAAAAAATATATCAATGTCAAAATTAGCAGGCCGCACATCCTTTGTACGCAACCATCCCTCCATCCAGCCAGCCAGCGAGCACATTTTTTTGTTCTAATATAGTATGTTTAAAAAGATGAGATGTCAAATTCAGAAGCCACCTTTAAACAAAAAACTATGGCAATGTTAACCCAAGGTTTAGCCACATGTAATTACATACTTGTCAACCCATACGGTTTACCCGTATTCTTGTACAATGAAATTGAGTACATGTTTTGTCTTTCTCCCATGTGATGGGACTTTGTAGGATGAACGTTGAGATTTATGAGGGCACGGGGTGACCAATCAGGTCTGAATTGGTCTGTAATAAGGTAGATACCGATAATGGGTTGACAGGTATGGGAATGCCGAGCTTGGATGTAAGATAACACTTTAGGTCACACTACTGCAATGATGACTCCCATGCACGGTAATCGGTGGGCGATAAGTTCCTATATCCATCGCTTTTAAGCTACGACGGCTTCAGAGCAGTGAGGTGCAGTGAGGTCAATGGCTGGGGAGGCACTGGCTCGTGTCAGCCAGATTCACACACTGAGGGGGCGTGGCCTCACGGAGGGGGCGTGGCCTCATGGAGGGGGCGTGGCCTCACTGAGGGGGCGTGTCCTTGCTGAGGGGGGCGTGTTAGACACGTCCCCCAGTGAGGCAGATGTGATAGCTGCCTCCCCTGGTGCTTTTTCATTGCAGTTTCATAACGAGACCAGCGAGCCTAAATATCTGTATACACATACGTGAAATAAGTTACCTGGAGTATGGAAGGCGAGGATATGAAATGAAGGGGTCTACAAACATTACATTGGTGACATGCTGAGATAGTAGCAGGCACACGCTTATTGACCGCGCTCTATCCAGTTACTGAGGAGTTGCGCAATCAGAGGGGAGGCTGAGCTCGTCGCTGCCTCACCTCTCGTCTCTTCCTGTATTTGCAGCGGAGCTCCACAAATTTGGCGATTTTTACTAAAAATGATTGGAATCGTACATAAATAGCATTTATAACACAGATGAGTGGAAAAATCTTCATTTTTATTTTATTTTATTATTCTTTTTTTTACTTTTGGTAACAGCTATTTTCATTGGAGTATGACAGGTGGAGGCTCTGCCTCCCCTGACCGCACTGTCCCTGCTTCAGAGTGATGTAGGGGTGTCGCTTTGCTGAAACACGTGAGCGGAGGGGGGTGTTGCTCAGCACGACCAGAGAACCCACACGTTGACAGCGACGGAGCCCAGGGGCCACAGTGAACGCTGCAGAATAATAATTATTATTCGTTACCATTTTTTAAATTGTGATTTAAGTGCGGTCTGTAACCCCAAACAACGTTATCTCCCTGGCTTTATCTCTACGTGCTTCTGATATAGTTCGAGTGAAGGGCCATCACTCAAAATTTTCTTCTTATATATATTTTAAGTTCACACACAGTGTTATACTGGTAGAAACCTCATGGTTACACCAGCCCACAGGAGATTATTATGTCCGTCCGTCCGTCGTGCAGGGAGGGGCTGGGTGGGGAGGGAGGGGCTGGGTGGGGAGGGGCTGGGTGGGAGGGGTGGGGCTGGGTGGGGAGGGGCTGGTCACCCCGTGGTGCCCTTATAAAACTCAACGTTTAACCTACTCACGCCGGCTTGTGCCCGCCCTCACAGTCGGGCATATTTGCGGAATACACCACGCCGCCGTTGACCCTGGCCATTGACCGAGCAACCCAACGTTCCTACCAGCTCCCTCCGCAGGAATGTGTTTGACAAATGTTTTGAGTACGCTTGTGATTTGTACACCGCTGCCAACGCATCAGCAGCACCAAATAACGTGTTTAACGTATTTTGTTTTATAGGTTCTATGCTGTTTGGTTGCACTAAGCCCCGTGTCTAACAGACAGGGCCATCGCCTATAAACATCTGGAACGTCGTCAGCATTTGGTTCAAACCAAGACTGACCCTGCTGATGAGCCACTGAAATGACGAAACCGGCCTCGAGTTTCTTTTTTTTGCTTGTGTTGAACCAATGCTGCCGAAATTACGGACTCCCGCAAGGAAGGCCGTGTGGCTGACGAGATGAGTCCACATGCGTGGATTTGTACGGCACGTTCCCGGAGGAGTGAAATAATACCCCTTTAATTACGAACACTCGACTTACGAACTTTCAAAGATACGAACCAACGTGGTCCGTATGACCAGTTGCCTGTTCTGACCGAGAGTCGTAAGTTCAACCGCCGTGCAATAGATGGCGGTGGTGGCATCTACATCTACAGAACATGAAGAACCAGTGGCATCTACATCTACAGAACATGAAGAACCAGTGGCATCTACATCTACAGAACATGAAGAACCAGTGGCATCTACATCTACAGAACATGAAGAACCAGTGGCATCTACATCTACAGAACGTGAAAACCCAGTGGCATCCGGAGAACGTGAAGAACCAATGGTATCTACATCTATAGGAGAGTATACAACGTTTAAAGCAATTCCCCGTATTTATTGTACATGCCGTACAGCATGTTTGGAATCGACAAGAATAAAGTTCGATTTACGAACAGGCACAGAGATACACTTAAGCGGTGTGCTTTCGCTAAGTTGTCCCCACCTGAAGAAGGACGCTTGTGTTGCGCCCGAAACGTCGTCATTTAATGTATTTAAATTTCTTACCTACGTGACTTTAGCGAAAAAACCAAAGAGTAGGCGCGCCTCTGTAACCGAACTCGTTCGTAAGTCGAAGAGCCCCTAAGGTTGCCCGCTGCAGCCAAGCGCGTAAGTCGAAGCGCCCCTTGCGGTTGCCAAGCGCGTAAGTCGAGTCGGGGTCGAATGGGAGGAGTCTTGCTGCTGCTGCTGCTGATGCAGCAAATGATCGCGGTCCCTAAGCCGGCTGAGCCAGGGTCCCGGAAGTAGACTCCGTGCCGCTCATCATCCACCACCACCATCACCACCTCCACCTCCTTCACCTCCTCCTCCTCCTCGTTGTCGTCTTCTCTTCCACCTCGTCGCCGTCAACCCCTCCTCGTCCTCGCTCGGCTCACAGGTGCGAGCGCTTCACAGCCGCGCTGTGGTGTATATATTTATATAAATGTGTTATTATAATGCTGCTGCTGCTACTACTACTAATACACGGACGCGGTGATATCGGATTACGTAACACTCGTACACGAACGCACGGGGAATTGATAATAAACACAGAGTGCATATTGCAGCATGGTGTGAGGTGACATCTCCCGTGCCAAGCCAAAGCTCCCCCGTGTAGCCTTCACAGACTGTGGGGGCAAGTGCTGTCAGCGAGCAGCACCCACGAAGGCGGGCACGGCACGCCCGGCCGCCTTTGTCTCACCTTAGTGGCGATGATTTTACGCGCCGGTTCAGATAATCGTCACCGGTGTTGGTGGTCGTGAGCGGGAATCGAACTCGGTTCGCCGGGTTTGTAGCGTAGCGCTAACCGCTGCACCACCGCTCCCCACATCTGCCGTGCGTCTACACTACATATACACAATATGCCATTCCACGATCCGGTGTAATAACAACACAACACGTATCCTGGCAATACAGTACAGGGTTACTTACACAGCACACACACACAGCACTCGTACAGCAACAAACGATATACGTGTACAACACGAAATACTACGCTGGTAGACTTCGTGAGATACACACACGGTCAAGATACACACAGGACCAAGATACACACAGGACCAAGATACACACACACGGTCAAGATACACACACAGGGTCAAGATACACACAGGGTCAAGATACACACACAGGGTCAAGATACACACACGGTCAAGATACACACAGGACCAAGATACACACAGGACCAAGATACACACACACGGTCAAGATACACACACACGCTCAAGATACATACAGGACCAAGATACACACACAGGATCAAGTTACACACACGGTCAAGATACACACAGGGTCAAGATACACACAGGGTCAAGATACACACACAGGGTCAAGATACACACACGGTCAAGATACACACACAGGGTCAAGATACACACAGGACCAAGATACACACAGGGTCAAGATACACACACAGGGTCAAGATACACACAGGACCAAGATACACACAGGGTCAAGATACACACAGGACCAAGATACACACAGGACCAAGATACACAGAGGGTCAAGATACACACAGGACCAAGATACACACAGGGTCAAGATACACACACAGGGTCAAGATACACACAGGACCAAGATACACACAGGATCAAGTTACACACACGGTCAAGATACACACACGGTCAAGATACACACAGGATCAAGATACACACACGCTCTGTACGTGGTTACAATTGTAATGGGTTCAACTGAGTCGTAGACATAAACTTGGAGGCAACACATTTATTCAGTTCCAACACACGGGGTAACTTCTCCTTAACAGAATAACAACCTTTGGTGGTGACCACCAGGCTAACTACACGAGTTACAACGTAGCTGCTACTACGGACCGGGACCAACGACTTCGGCCCGGGTCCACGTGTTGGAGACTCGTTGAATGGAGAACGTAGACGAAGGGTTTCTTCCAGGATGAACAACAACCCCGGTCCCTCTCGGGACCCGGCTTTTATTCTTTGTGGTGTGACCGGCTCCCAGAGGTCGCAACCGGGTACCCGATACCCGTACCCTACCCGATACCCGGCTACCCGTACCCGGCCGGGTACGGGTAGCCGTTTGCGACCCTGGTGCGGCCGGGTACGGGTAGGCCGTGAGTCACTGGTGAGTAACCGTTTGTTACTCATTTCGAGTTGGGTACGGGTAGAGTACGGGTACCCGTACCCGGTCGGGTACGGGGACAAGTACCCATTTGCGACCCTGGTGCGGCCGGGTACGGGTAAGGAATCAAAACCCGTTTGCTACCTCTGCCGGCTCCGCTCTTGGCCTCGTCCACCTTCCAGAATCCTCGGGAAGGATCTGGGTCCCGATCACGTGACCACCCCTATCCCCCTCTTGGGGCACCTTTGTTAACTTAACCGGTCACGTGTCTTCCCGGGTCAACCAGAGTGCCATGGCCTCATATAACCTCATCCTTCGGTCGGCACCCACACACCCTGTCCTGTAGGGTCGGCACTGCACTTAAGGCGTGGTGCCATCTAGCACTGTTATTCAGCGCACGCCGTGCGCCTCTAGGGCCGGTACTGCACCCACACCATTGTGGTATCCGGCGATGTCGCTACACTGCACGCCGTGCCCCTCTAGGGCCGGTACTGCACCCACACCATTGTGGTATCCGGCGATGTCGCTACACTGCACGCCGTGCCCCTCTGGGGCCGGTACTGCACCCACACCATTGTGGTATCCGGCGATGTCACTACACTGCACACCGTGCCCCTCTAGGGCCGGTACTGCACCCACAACATTGTGGTATCCGGCGATGTCACTACACTGCACGCCGTACCCCTCTGGGGCCGGTACTGCACCCACACCATTGTGGTATCCGGCGATGTCGCTACACTGCACGCCGTGCCCCTCTAGGGCCGGTACTGCACCCACACCATTGTGGTATCCGGCGATGTCACTACACTGCACACCGTGCCCCTCTAGGGCTGGTACTGCACCCACACCATTGTGGTATCCGGCGATGTCACTACACTGCACACCGTGCCCCTCTAGGGCTGGTACTGCACCCACACCATTGTGGTATCCGGCGATGTCGCTACACTGCACGCCGTGCCCCTCTAGGGCTGGTACTGCACCCACACCATTGTGGTATCCGGCGATGTCACTACACTGCACACCGTGCCCCTCTAGGGCTGGTACTGCACCCACACCATTGTGGTATCCGGCGATGTCACTACACTGCACACCGTGCCCCTCTAGGGCTGGTACTGCACCCACACCATTGTGGTATCCGGCGATGTCGCTACACTGCACGCCGTGCCCCTCTAGGGCTGGTACTGCACCCACACCATTGTGGTATCCGGCGATGTCACTACACTGCACACCGTGCCCCTCTAGGGCTGGTACTGCACCCACACCATTGTGGTATCCGGCGATGTCACTACACTGCACACCGTGCCCCTCTAGGGCTGGTACTGCACCCACACCATTGTGGTATCCGGCGATGTCACTACACTGCACACCGTGCCCCTCTAGGGCTGGTACTGCACCCACACCATTGTGGTATCCGGCGATGTCGCTACACTGCACGCCGTGCCCCTCTGGGGCCGGTACTGCACCCACAGCCTGTTGACATCCAGCAGTGTCGTGGGTAAGTGACGTGCAGTAGTTAGGAGGACATTGCAGAATTATCGTAGTTCATATAATTATAATTTAAAGACGGTATCTTAACTTACAACCGTTATGAATCATAACATTGCTTTGATAAGAAGGCAATGACAGGCGTATGTATTGAGTGAACCGCGGTTACTTTTCTTTTACAAGTACTCTTCATTTGTACAGGAAATACCACGGAGAACATAGTAGCCATAACCATGTTAAATTACGACACTTTATAGGAAACGATATCGCTGTAGTCGGCAAACATCGCAAACATTCGGGATTGTAAAGTGGAAATCCTCAAGAAAATATGCGTAAAACATCACTGGGTACAGTACTAACAACATAATGAGCGTGATTATCACGTTTTTAAGAGGATAAATGAGCCAGGCAAGACATTTAACCGACACGGGACTTGCAGCCAGCACGTTTAATTGTTTAACACAGTCGCGCCTGCAAACGTACATCTCGCGATACGCTTTACAAAGATTTTGATGCAACGTTTAACAAGAGAAATAACCCGTATAACAACCAAAAACAACGTAACCTTTTTAGTCGGTTGATCACTAAGCTTACTTGGCTCAACGTCATCCAGCAGTGTTTGTTTAAACCAAAGGGGCAAACTCCTGGACCACATGACCACGTGAGTTGTTATCAGCACTGCTGTGTGTGTGAACCTTGACTTAAAACACTGCTGGGCTGTTTGATGGTGTCATAGAAAAGAATCCTTAAACGAACACAGTGGGTCTCCCAAGTCACACATTCAGAGAGAGACCAAGTGAAGCTGTGGCAAAGTAAATAAGCCTGACTGTGCTGATATAAAATTCGGTCCCGATTATGCTTATGCTAAACCAATGCTGCTGATAAAATGCACTGTCTCTTTTGGGATGTGTTGCATATATTTGGATGTTTTTCTTTCAAGTGGGGGGACAGGCATGGGAAGGAGGCATCCTGTTTACCTATTTGTTTTGTTACTCATCACACACCAGTTGATGCAATAAATACATCCACATTGTATTACCACAAGGTCACCGTAGTTGCATAATCCAGACATAAGCTGCTTGCTTGCGAGTTGACCCGGAGTCCCGAGTGTGAGTATGAGGAAAGCGGTGTTGAGTCATGTTGTGTCAGCCTCAAGCACATGGCCTCGGAACCAGACTCACGGGGCCATATGTAAACCCCCGAACAAAGATGGTCACTGCAACGCGCGCTTTCAGATGCGCTTCTGCGGCCCTCTGGAACGATCTTCCTTCCGATATTAGGAAGCCATTAGTTGGAGCTATGCACTTTTTAATCTAAATAGATCTTGTTTTAGAACTGCTTTTTGTTCTGTTTAGTTTGTTGTCCTTCCCCCGCACCTCCGATTAGCATGGTTGGCTACGTACGGTGCGAAAGAAGTTGAACATACACACACGTCAAGCCCGCCACGTAGAAACTGCCCGCAAGCAATATTCATTGGGCAGCTGCTACCGCAGGCACCTTAGTGGCACTAATCGGTTCCTAGAGGGGAAAATATTAGTCAGAAAGTGGCCAAAATGTATTTGGCACGTAGATATAAATACACAATTGATGTAAATATTAAATCACCTTTCCTATTTATAGCTGTGCTGCATTTTGGACAGAGACATTGACGCATGCACCATCTCATGGGACCTGCATGGGAAGACTCCTCCTATTGCGACATTTGTCCATTTGCGACCCAGCCGTTTACTACAGCACACACTTGGGTGTTACTGTGAAATTTCATAACATAGGGTTACTATACATACTGTACAGGTTGACACTTAGGGCCCCACCCTGTGTGTGTGTAATTATTTGGTGTCGCAGGCAGTTTGGTGAGTCTGACATCAAGATTGATGGATGGATGGATGAATCCATGAACCCACTGTGAGGTATAGAGCACTTGTGATGATCAGGCAGCATTGCCACATGATGGTAGAAGAGGAATATTGTATTTGAATTATTATTGACTTCACTCCCAGTATAGCTGCACTCACAAGTCAACCTTGGTTATTTGATATTAGTTTAGCAAACATGGTGCATTTCAGTCACAATGAGGATGATACTGAATTACTATTTTTTGTGTGTATGTTGAACTTCTTTCGTACGTCGCCAAACGTGCAATTTTTTTTTATAGTTTTTGAGTGCAAACCCAAAAGGTCTAGTGGCCAGCAACAACCAGCACTGTAAAAGTTTTCCGAGTGAGGTTATTTTACTAGTTTGGGAAAAGAGACGATGGGAGGAGTCATGCATTGGTGTTTTGACTGCCATAATTTCCACGTAATGACAAGCCACTTCGTTGAGCAATCATTTGTGGCCAGGTTGCTTCTGAAAAAGCTCAGTGGGTCTTACCTGGTAAAATAAATAGAGTAAAAATGTATTTAAGTTTGTGAGTAAATGGGTTTGTGAGTGGATGAGTGAGTGTGTTGTGACCTGCAGTGTGGTGTTGGTTGACATTAGTGCGGTGCATGAGACGAAACATCCAGTGCCTGCGTAAACCGAGTGGCTCAACTGAACGTGGAGCTGTTGTGTGCGCTGCGCAGGGATGGATGGAAGCAGCTCCCCGGAGGAGCGCGTCCGAGTGCTGAGCCAGAAGGGCTCCCAGGTGGAGGTGCGGGACAGCATCCCCCCCCAGCGCTACTTCCGCTCGGGGAAGGAAATGCTGCGCATGGCCACGGTCTACCACGAAGAAGGCAACCTCGAGGAGGCCTTCATGCTCTACACCAAGTACATCACGTGAGTACAGTGCGTTCCTGCAGCCAGGTGACACGGGAGCATCCTGCCAGTCCGCTCTCATTTGTCCGTTTAGTTAATTGTTTTGAGCCAGTCCACCTTCAGTAGTTGGCCTGTATGCACTGGGTGTGCTCGAGATTACGGCTCTGAACACATCAAGTGTAACTTTTCCGATCATCCTCGCAGCGGCTTTTGGCTGACCATTGAACAAAGACGGTTACCGCATCATGCGCTTTCAGATGTGCTTCTGCGGCCGTCTGGAATGTTCTTCCTTCTGATATTAAGAAGCCAATGGAGCTATGCACCTGTGGTGACATCGCGGATGTTACTGTGTAATGCCGGCTCTAGAGAGGCACGGTGTGCGGTGTATTGACATCGCTGGCACCACTCACATGTGGGTGCAGTACCGGCCCTGGAGGGGCTCGGTGAGCGCTGACTGACAGCGCTGGATGGCACCACGCTCTGCGTGCAGTGCCGACCCCTACAGGATAGGGTGTGAGAGTGTCGGCCACTGGGAATGGGGTTACCATAAGCCGTGGCACTCTGGTGGATCCTAGAGGACACGTGACAGGTAAAGTATACAAAGGGCCCCCAAGCGGGGGCTAGGGGTGGTCACGTGTCAGGGCCGAGATCCTGCTCGAGGGTTCTCGAAGGTGGTCGTGGCTAAAGGTGGAGCCAGCCACGCCACAGAGGACAGAAGCCACCGGGTCCCCGAGAGGGACCGGCTGCTGTTGTCATCCTGAAGAATCTACGTTCTACGTCCTACAGAGTCTCCAACACGTGGACCTGGACCCGAGCTGTGGTCCGTCCGTTGTAGCTAGTTACCGTGTACTTAGTGCAGTTCGCCTGCTGGTCCACCACCATAGGTTGTTATAGTGTTAAGGGGTAGTTACCCCATGTGTTGGTATTAATAAATGTGTTGCCTCCAACGAGTACGTCTGCGACTCAGTTGAATCCACTACACACCTTTAAATCTACATTGAAAACTCGTTTCTTTACAACTGCTTTTTGTGTTTAGTGTTTTGTCCTTCCCTTGCACCTCCGATTAGCACAGTTGGCTACGTATGGTGCGAAACAAGTTCTACATACATCATCACTAACCAATGTTACTCTCGTGCCACTGCATGTGATACTGATTTCATCGTTACATCTCTCGCTGGGGTACCTCGCGCCCCTATGTGCTTTTGGAAAAAATAATTTGCTAATCGTTTCAAGTTTATTTTAATTAATCAGTTGAGTACCCAAGAGACCAAGACAGAGTCCCATTTGCAAGAGTGACCTGGGTCGCCAAAATGACACGGGCAAAACAAATAAAATCCGAACAAAACAAAACCAATTGTATCCCGTGAAGAATTTTAAATGCTGCACTCGTTATTCCCCGCAGGAGTGTACGTTCTTAAAAATTGATTGGACACGTGAAACATTGACGAAAAACATTTGAATAAAGGCTGAACATTACGCAAATAGGTAACATAGCTGCCTGCTGTGAATTCCAGAGAAATATAAAGAAATATAAAGAACATATGTGTGTTGGAGACTCGGGGGGGGGGGGGGGGGTGATGATGATTGACTGGCAAGGAACACGGACCAGGGAATAAAGGAGGAGAGCGAGAGAGAGGAGAGTTCTGAGTGCGGAGTGATGAAGCGTGGTGTGTTACCTGCTGTATGTCCGGGGATTGTTACCTGTGGGTCATCAATGAAGAGACCTTTGCTCAACACGGCGTGAGCTGAATCCTTTCATATGGATCACAGAACTAATGTAATGGCGGGTGCCGTGATGACTGTTAAGAAAAGTCAGTGGCATGGGCAGGGGGCATCGCGAGAAGGGTCGCGATAGCCCATTGTCCAGAGTGGTGAGCCTTAGGAAGGAACACACTTCCCAGAGGACGACCACTACGGAGATGGAGCGATGTGATTTGCTCATCTGCGGAAGCGAGATGGATTGTGGCATCACGGGACAGTGGGGAATGGCTATGATGTGGGGGAGGCGTTCATTCAGCAGTGGATAAAACATGGCTGGTGATGATGAAACCAGCAACCAGAGCTAAGTTGAAATTCATCAATTGCAGCAATGTCTTATGGTGACATAATTATTAGCACCTGCATGTAAACAGTTTACTTACAACATAAAATAAAAACATACTTTGAAGCTTAGTGTCATTTTAGTCGCTGATATTGCACGGTTTTAAATATTTTATGGACGCTTGTACTGCCATACCAATATATAATGAACACTGTTTGTTTCCGTCGTAATGCTTGTTGTGTCGGCAGGTTGTTTGTTGAAAAGCTACCCAAGCACCAGGACTACAAAATGGTTTCGCTGCCCTTCAAGGCGGACACAACAAAGGTGCTGACCGTGGCGCCGCGCATGTGCAATGGTGGCGGATGTGTTTCGTGCGCGATGGTCCACTTGTATCTGCACCGATATTAAACCGTTTCAGTTTTATTTTTAAACCAGTTGATTTCTTCGCACTACCACGTGATGTGCATTAACGCGACGGTAAAATAGTAACGCGAGCCATTATTCGGGATTAATTACTTAAAAATAAACAGACGATGACGTTAATGTCATCTGCCGGCAGCGTCGTTGGGGTGTTGGGAGTGAGCGAGAGCAGCGCGTGGCAGTAATGTTGCGGTAGAGCAAGTCGTGGAACGCTTTGTGTGTAGAACTTCTTTCACACCGTACGTATCCAATCGCGCTAATCGTATAGTGGAGTGCGTAAAGAGCGTGCGCACGGAGCGACTGCGTGTGGCACATCCGACATCTCTCTAGGAAGCACAGGAGCGCTATCCTACACGTCCCCTGAGCGGCTCTGATCAGGGCACTCACTTTGCCATGACAGTGACCTCCACACAGTGGACAGGAGGAGTTCTCGTGTATACAATTACATCTACGGCAATCGCTCAGCTTTTACTTTTTCTCTGTGCATCTGGCCTATATGGGACGATTATATTTATCGGATGTGCTCTGTTGTTGTTGTGACTCTTTTGGTAGGCATGGCTTGTAAGGCTACATCGCCGTCTGCGACACAAAAGCTAACTTTGTGAATGTCGTCTCTATTGCAGAAACTGAAGACGGTTTTTCCGCTCGCAGAGAATGTGAAGAAGAAGCTCCAAGCGACTTATGCTAAAGAACACAACATGTACTTGGAGAAGCAGGTGAGCTCCCGTTCGTTGTTTTGCGATAAACAACGCCGCTTTCAATGCACGCGACCCAGTGGGCCTCGCTCCTTGTAATGCGAGTGCCGTCGATACATTTCTCATGTTACATCTTAAACCTCACCTGGTTAATGTCAGGCCACAATGCGTCATGTGTTGAATAGAGACGGCTTAGCCACAGTGTGGCTGGAGGCACCGAACAGGGAATTGGTGTGGATAACTGGTGATTCATACGGTCAGAGAAGAGACTCTCAGATTTAGTTTTGAACGAAGGTGGGTAGGGGGATGCGATCTGGTTGCAGAATTTATCAGGTAGAGAGAAACACACACACACGTGCGTGATGGTGATGATGATAATAGTTTCACTGCTGCAGTGCTTACCATGTGCTGTTTGAAGTGCCGATTAGTGGATTCGCCTATCAGAGCTTTGTGCTTCACGTTTTAAGAAGGGTAAGTCTGACGGCTTATAATAATTACTGCATTGGGATGTTTGGTCAACACTGATGACAGTGTTAGTTTTAGTATGGGGAAGAACCCGGAAGAAACCCGTGCAGAACAGGGGGGAGAACATACAAACTTGACACACAGAGGCGCCCAAGACGAGTCAAAACTAAACCATTTTTCATTTATTTTACCAGGTAAGGCCCATGTTGAGCTATATGGCTCTTTTTCGGAAGCAACCAGCCCACAAATGATAGCTCAGCGAAGTGGCTTATCATGTGGACATTTAGAGCAGCCATATACTCTAAACGTAAGTTTCTAAATGGAGGGAAAAACTGGAGGACCCAGATAAAAATCCACGCATCCACGGGAAGAACATGCAAACTCCAAATATGCAGGTGTCAGGATCGAACCCACGACATCCTGCATACCAGGCGAGGTCGTTAACATCTCATAGCCACCGTGGAGTCGAGCCCGGCCCCTTGTCAGCGTCGTCGCGTGCTCATCGTGTGCTCGTCGTGTGCGCAGGGCGAGCTGGCGGCGGAGCGAGCGCGCGAGCAGGAGCGAGTGCGCGAGGTGGAGGAGGAGCGGCGTCGCCTCGCGCAGATGCAGCGGCAGCAGCAGGAGCAGCAGGCCTTCCACGCCTTCGAGGAGACGCTGCGGCGGCGCGAGCGCGAGAAGGAACGCCTCGCCGTGCTGCACCAGTTCGGCTCCTCCGAGGACCACGACGATGCCGTCCCCGGTGCCGCCGCCGCCGCTGCCGCCGCCGGACCGGGGGTGCTCATTCAGGGCCTGAAGCCCCCCCCCACGGACGGGCGGCCCCCACCCACCACCCCCAGCGGGCCCCCCGCCGTGGACAGGTCCTGCAAGCCGGCGTCGCTCGTGTCACCAGCACGTGAGTGCCACGCGGGGGCTTTATGCGGATGGGGTCGGAATGCTTCTGCCGGGGATGCCCTGTGGCCATGGTGCAAGCTGACCTAGCTCTGGCACTCGCTGTCTTTGACTTTCGGAACAGAAATGTTAGTTTTCATGATTTGCGCTTTGTTCATTTAACACGTAGGTCTGTCGCGGCCAATATTATTAACAATAGATTTTTTGGGCCAGATTGCACACTCTTTTCTACCCGACACAGCCATTTAATAAATTGGCATGTTTGTTCCCGTGACAACTTTATTCATTGACCATGTCGGGTGGAGGAGGGTTTACGACACACGTTTTTACGCAGTCTGATCAAAGATATCTATTTTGAATATATGTATATTGAAGTTCTTTCGTACGTAGCCATCTGTGCTAATCGGAGGTGCGGGAATCACATTTGGTTCTTTGACAGTATTTATTTCCGTGCAAACTTTTACCAAATTATGTTATTTAATGTGGAAAAAAAAGCATCCCCTTTCACCCCCACTTATATTTCAATCATCCTCTTCACCGTGAGGTCATCAGACAGAGGGGATAGAGTGACACAGCACTCGTAATGAGCAGCACACAGCACTACGCCGAGGACAGTTTCCCCTTTGCCGATCTCAGGCTGTTGGGCCTTCCCTTGTAGCCTCAGCGTGATGTGAATGCCAACGCCCATGCTGCGGTGAAGCCAGTTTGTAATTCCTTCCATAACATGCTCTTGACGTTGTGTGTGGTGTGATTGGTGTGTGTGTGTGTGCTGGGTGTTTTTTTTCTTTCTACTTATGCCGGATTCCAAGGTGACAATGAAAGAAAAGTGGTTGTTCCTTCAAATCTCTGCGAAAAGTTTCTGGCACAAGTATCGGAGAACACCGCTCGTGCTGTGGAAACCTGCGGCATCCTGTGCGGGAGAATGGTGAGGAAATGTCAGAGCCGCCGAGGTATCCGCGGCCGACGCTGATCATGCCGTGTCGTGCGAGCCGGTTATCATCGCTGTGTGTACTGTTGAAAGATGCTAATCAATCACCTTATCACTGGTAACTTTTCTGTCTGAATTCAGTGCTGAACACATCTATTGTTAAACAACTGGGGAAATGGTAGGGGTTTTTATCGTTATGTTTGTTTATTCGGAAAAGACTCACTGGAGTCTCATGAGTTTTTTTTTTAGGGTCCTGCCAACTTTTTGCAGCAGGGGGCGATGATTACAATGTACTGTAGATTCCAATTGAGTGAATATGCAGTAAGTTTTCATATTTGACAATTTTTCCACACAATGTCCTGCTCTTGCGAATGGCATCACATGATCTTTAATGTCCACTATAAAGCAGACAGCTTGTATTACGGTGGTTATTACACCCGCAGTGATAATCGGGGCGGCCGCTCGATTCGAACCGTGAACCTGGCAATTTTGGTTTGTGGCCAGAATGTGAATATGAAGGGGGCACTGCATTGCTTGGTCATTGCATTCCAGTGCGGAGGCGGTGCTGAGCGGAGGCAGTGCTGTGCGGTGGTGGTGCTGAGCGGAGGGAATGCTCTGTGGTTGGTGCATCGCGCTGTGCATACTCCCTGCAGGTGCAAGGCGTGTTCACGGTGACGCACGTGATCCTGCCGAAGCAGAAAGGCTCCTCGGACTCTTGCCTGACAGAGAACGAGGAGGAGCTCTTTGAGATCCAGGATCGATACGATCTGCTCACGCTTGGCTGGATCCACGTGAGTCGTCTGTAGTTTATTTGTCTCTTCTTCTTCATTACCTTGGCAAGGCTGCCTCCAATGCCGTTATCCCTCCGGGTGGAGCCTACGCCAACGGTCATCATCGCCATCATCATGTGCTCCAGTTCCCTCCCATGCATGTAAACACTCAATAATTGGCTGGTGACATCTTAATATGTAGAGGACTGCAGAACTCGGGCAATTGTTGGTTGCACCGGCTCAACGTGTGCCCTGCTGACTTCCAGCTCGTTCGTGGTCTTCCTCTGAGTCGTTCTCTTTCTTCGAGAGCAAGCGGATACTGTGCGGCACCACGTTACGAGTTTAAATTCTTCTGCCCACTGCTGGATGAAAGCTTCCCCACGCTGTTGCTCTCTATTGCAGTCCTGCGATGCCGTGTTGTATGGAATTTGGTGAACCCGTGGGCTTGGACGCCTCGGTTAACCACTTGCGCTGTTTTTATCCGCGTTTTTTTCGCGAGTAAGTGGGGCCATGCGCCAATTAATCCTATTATATTATCTGCATGGTTATCCGTGGGGGTTATTATCAGGTAATTGCAATTATCAATACTGTTATCCGTGATTTTTTTAGGGCAAGAGGAGTCGCGCTGCAAATGCATCCTGTTATATGGGGTTATCCGCGATGTTTTACCCCGCGGATGGGAGCAGTAAAATTGCTGATACGTATGTTGAACTTCTTCCGTACCGTACGTAGCCAACTGCGCTAATAATATCGTGGATGTTTTATAGGGCTTGTGTATTTCACGTCCGTTTGTGCACAAGACTAGCGGTCGGATCTCGTTGATGGTGGCGATCGCTGCTTTTCTCAGACTCATCCGACACAGACGGCGTTCCTCTCCAGCGTGGACCTGCACACGCACTGCTCCTATCAGCTCATGCTGCCCGAAGCCATTGCCATCGTCTGTTCTCCCAAGCACGACGAGTGCGTCCCGCACCCACACTCGCAACACTGGCACAATGTCGCTGCTTCGACGAGTTACGGCTGAAGAACAGATGAAATGACACAGTTGTATAGCTGATGGATGAGCACACTACTAACCATGACATGTTCACTTGGAGATGGTGGTTCGATTCACATACCCTTGGGTAACTTTCTGTGGAAAGTCACCAAGTCATATTCACTGGCGGAGCCACGGGGGGGGGGGGGGGGGGTGACACGTGCCACCCCAATGATCCGATCGAAATCCCTAATTTCGATCGGATCATTGGGGTTTATTAGGAATAAATCAGCATTTTGCGACCCCCACTGCCACTGTGTAGCATATACTGTGTAGAATATTATTACGTGCCAGGGACTCTATGAGATGATAGGACAATAGTCTGAATCCATAATTGGCAAAAAATAACGGCAAAGCAGTTATAAGTGACTCACAGAATTGTGTGCAGTTGCATATACAGTACACGACTTCCCTGAAGGCATTCACCTTCAGCGAGCGCGATGCCGATCACACAACGCGGTTCGAATTCGACCCTCGATCGATGGCTGTGCCATCACCGCACACGCGTCGAATAAAAAGCAAGAAGCAAGGGACAAGTCCTTACTTACTAACAACTCCTCTATTGTGTTTCATTGCTGGAGAGGGTTGCCCCCCCCCCCATCCTGTGAAAATCCTGGCTCCGCCATTGGTCATATTTAAGTGTATATCCTGCTCCGATGTGATTAAATTTGTGTGTTCAGGCCTGGCGTAGAACCGTACATAAATGTTTACGATTATAAGTTGATGGAATACTGGCCCATGATGCACTTGACTGGCAGTTTTATCACTGGGATATGTCAAGTGTGTTGGCAGGATTCCCAGGAGTACATTAATAACTTGACAATATCATTGTAATATGCCGGTATACGTATGTGGCCTGCCTTGAAGAATAGTTTTGTCGTTAAACATGTAATGTGTGCTTTGTTACTGTGGTACAAACACGAATTGCACCACACGAATAGATTAAGGCCTGTAGTGCCACATGTACATCCTGCCACTCACGCAGGGCCTTGCATCTGTTCTTGCTCGCGCTGTGTCGTGTAACGGGGCACCAACTCGTGGTGGTGTGAATTGCAGCCCTAACGTGAGACTCTGCGTGGGTTTTGGCAGAACGGGGTTCTTCAAGTTGACGGAGTGTGGCATGGAGGAGATCTCGATGTGTGTCCAAAAGGGCTTCCACCCGCACTCCAAGGAGCCTCCGTTGTTCCAGGTGCTGCTGCCACTCCCCGCGCTTCGCCGCCGTAATGCAGGCGGCAGAGCATTGTGCTTGCGTGTGTCGCGATTAGCTACGAACACGGCAACCCGAGTTCGATTCTAATTCACGGCCAACACTGGTGATTTTGCCCAGATTTACCTCTTATGGATAGTGTGTTTAATTACAGATTGTGAATGACCAGATGCTCAGTTTGCTTTGTCACGAAATTTACCATTCAGGGGTCACCAGCTCATTCCAGAATTTATTTATGTGGTGACTGCAGAGGTCACATGAAGCCACTGCATGCAAGATCTTTTCAGACCTTGACCAATACATAGCCAGATAAAGGCCTTTCCATGACTGTTGTTTAACCATACTTCACCATGCTGGTCACTGCGTGTTGAAGGGTGAGGGGAGCTAGTAACAATTTAAATATTATTCACCACAGATGTTGTCCAGGAATTTAACGTGGGTATACAGATTCAGAGCAGTGCACAAACCACTGTGTTGCAGCTTCAGATTGGTGCAGGCACAATGCATCACATATCGTGTGCTTGTGTCGTGTGTGGGCGAGGAGTGGAGTTGATGGTGTGTGCGCGTTATCCGCAGGTGTGCGACCATGTGCAGTTCAAGGCGGAGCTGTGGGCCACCATCATCGACCTACGGTGACGGCCCCAGCAGGGGACCGATGGCCCGTTTTGATACCACGCCACTCGAGTGACTTAACGCTTGGGCAGCCTAATATGGAACTCCGTTGTATCCGAGGCGGACGTTGTGCATATAATGTACGTTACCGATGTAATACGTATGAAAACGTTAACGGTTTATTACACAAACTGCGCAGCTATCTTATTCCTGCAGTTATGTGCAGTGTATATGCAAAGCGCTTAAACTAATACCTACAGAACTTTTGTTTTTTAATATATGAAACCTTGTCCATATGCTGCTGCTTTTTTGGCATTACACCTGACATTTTGGTAGGAAAGAGTAACTTATTGAGAGCTATGAATGTCGTAAAAATTTAAAACATTGGTAATACTAGTTAGCTTGTAAATTAATCTTATCTCTCAAAGTGACATCTAAATATTACAGTCGGATGAATGTTTTTTGTTAATGGACGCTTGTTAACATTACCAACTTAATCCTTCCATTTCCACTTGGTATGTCATTGGGTGTGCGATCACCTGTTGCGAGGAAGCCTCAACCTTCCTAGAGCCAAACTTAAGGCGCTCGTTTGTGAGCGAGGGCCAGTTAAAGCGTCGCCTTCCTGCACCTTTAACAATGTGTCCCTTCGTGATCCACCGTCACGCTGACCCTGTGTCCGCACTCACTCTCCGTCGGAAGAAGTCCTCCTGGCCTCAAGACTGTTGCGCTCTCTCTCATGCCTTGTATTTTACTTCACCGCTGCATCAGATGGTGCTGTATTCATCACAACCTGCTTGACCCGTCATGAATATATTTCACACAGGCCTCTCTCGTGTCCACGACGTTATTGGTTCACCATTCACCACCCCCCCCCCCCCCCCCCCCGAAGATTTGAAAATGGCTGGCATTGAAATAACTTTAGACAAGACTTGAGAATTTATTCTGCAGTATGTTCATATTATTCTTGGTATGATGTTGGTAAGAATATACAAACAGCTGTCAACAACAAAAGCACCCCCAGCATGCTTTGCATGTTAAGATGACAATCATTCCTGCACATTCCACACAGCTTTGTGATGGCTACCAGCTCAATATATCATGAGTGGCATTTCACATTTAGACAGCAGAAGCACAAGGCAGGTGTGTACCAGTTTCATCATAATTAAGACTCATCAGTTCCAGTTTAGCCATCATGGCCTACTGCTGCCCCTTGTGGATGAAGGCGTGTGGAGCAGTCTTCTTGGCACTGCCTGAGGCCAAAAACCCAAATGACACAACTTCCACCAGTTGGAAAGGCAACTCATCAGCCAGTCAGAAATGCATGCAAGTCAGAACCTCATCCCTTTTGGCATAAATGACAGAAGTAAACAATGGTGGTTATACTTACACTGATGAGTCCTAATAAGAAGTTTGGTGTAGTTACGGTTTTCTGCTTAGACTCGTTTTAAGTTTTTCTGGATATTGTGAATAAATGCTAACTGACCTAATAAGTCACTCTACTTTTGGAATGTAAAATTTGTATCAGGTCAAAACAGTTCTACACGTAGATAATGTACATACCAATAAATACGATTTTAAATTCAACCACAGCAATGACCAACTCCACCCAGTGGCCAAGAGAAACAGACCGCATGGGCTCGGAGTATTACATTAGCGATTTTTCACAGGAACGAGACAAACGCAATAAATTGTTCACAAGAAAGCCAGTGATTTCAAATGCGCGTTGAGGTGCTGCGCATCTTCTATTCATAGCCCTGAGCCACTAGTGGAAATTCCACCTTCATATGGCTGGGCAAGTCCATAGGAAAACCACTTGTTAACTTCACCACCACAGTGGGCATTACTTAAACCACCAATGCAATCGGCATTATCTGTTGTATAACACAGGAGGAACGATCCACGTGGCTTGTCATTTTCAATAGACCTGCATTGTACAGTTAAAACGTGTTCAAGTTTTTTCCAGTCGTTTGCACATTATCGTCCTGTGTTAGTCATTCTGTCCAGTTGAGGTTTCTATGTTTGCAAGTGCCTGCAAGAAAGATCAGCCTTAATAAAGATGTTGAAGAACATGAAGATAATGTATCAACTGCTGTATAATTACAAGTTTTATATATAAATAAACTCAGGTACTGGTTGCGCATTAGAGTAATTTAAATGATGAATCAGTATTCCTTGTAATACTTTATATTGCAGTGTGTGTAAAAATGAGTAACAAAGCCACTGCTTCACCACCACTTTACATTGTCCCTCATCATGACCACTATCTCAAAGCCCTTTGTCAGTGCACTGCTGGATGAAGGCCTTCCCATGCCGTGTCACTCACAGGCAGCATGTAATCATACTTCACCGTGCTGGTTGGCGAAATGGGGCCCTGAACTGGTTCTAGTATCACTCGCCACAGATGTTAGCTGTGGCTGCGAATCAAACTCCAGGTTCATGCTGATCACTGCGCCACCGTCAATGCCAGTCGGCGTACCAATGGAACGGGTTTCTGTTTTTAACACGTAGGCCTTCACGACCAATATGCTTCAGAATTTATTTTTGGACGAGATCGCGTCGGTAAAGTGTGTGTAATACACCCTCCACCCGACACAGACAATAACATCATTGTGAACAAACGTGCCAATGTATTTCTCCTTTAGCACACCGGTGTGTTATAGAGCAGTATCAAATCATCACAATTCTGGCAAATGCCTGATGATGATGATGCTGCTTTTGATGACCAACGAAATGTCTGCACCCAATTGCTATATGTGTGGATCACTCTTCAACAACAGTCCGGTGGTGCTGCTGAAGCAGTAATAAACTTGCACATTTGCTCCCGTTACAATTTTATGAATTGGCTGTGTCGGGTGGAGGAGGGTGTACGACAAATTCTACTCGTGCAATCTCACCCAAAAACCAATTGTGAATCGGGGCTCTAATTGTGACACCGAACGACCCTGGGCTTTCACGAGTGGAGTGTGGACTCACGATTGCGCGGGACAGGATGTTGTTCTGCAGGGAGATTTCGGCTTGGTTGTGAATCTCTTTAGCCGTGGGCAGAGTTGGCTCCAGTCTGTGCCCAGCCTCTGCCAGGCCATCTACCTCCGGCTGCGACGGAATGCACAACAGGAAGAGGGATTGTGGAACAAGAGACACAGGATATGGATCACTTCACTGACAACTGAAGGTGATGGCCGCATATGTAGTTGTGAATCCAGGTGGGGAATGGGGGGGGGTGATCTCCTCTCACTTGAGACCAAGAAAATTGGTATTAGATGAAAATATACAGAAGAAAATACGATGCATTTTTTCTATTATAAATGTAGGGCCCTATTTAATAAACTTGAAGTTTTGGGATCGCCCAGCCTTAGGAAGTTTCTAGATCCACCTTTACTGCTAAAATACAGTATGTCCGGTACAATTTATAAACTGGAAATGAAACATTAAATACCATTACACTAACATCACAGCAACACGTGCGATGTTTTCTGTGATGGGACACAATCGCACAGACATCAACACCTCGTGCATTTCATACAACTCCACTAGACCCCCGTGATGCAGGCAGACAGTCACATGGATCGGACTTCCCATCCGATTATTATCAATAAAAACTCGTCTATAAAAAATGTACTCTGCTCAAAATACAGCGCACCGGGTCATATTTGAAGATACTTGCTCCTGTAAAGTATATTTAATAGGAAATTTGATATTTGCACATTTATATAAAAAAAAAGTATGTACAGTCTGGCAGCTTTGGAGAGAAGCGTTTTGTTTTGGTTATCACGAATACTCCACACGCGCGCACAGGTAATTTCACCGGGCATAGTTTGCATGTAACGCAGGACATGTACGGCACTTCTGACGTCACACGGGTCTCGCCAAACTCTCGGCCAAACGCCGCGACCCAATAGCGCACCTCCTCGGGCAGGCGGGCCTCCCGTCCGAGCATGAGGTAGAAGGGCGAGTACCGCGTGGCGCTGTGCTTGCTCGTGTGGTACTCAAACAGCCTCTGCTCCAGCTGCAGTTCCCAGTCGCGGTGCCGCCCGGTCGCTTTGCTCACGCAGTCCCTGAGTGCCTGGCTCGTGGCCTTGTGTGCCCCGCTGGCCCAGAGGTGCGATATCGCCAACCCGCTGCACATCGGGAAATGCCGGAACATCTCCTCATTTATCTGTAGGTTGCAGCGAAGGTACAACGATGTAATATGGTGCGTGCGGCTCTCAACAGACTGCCTTCAGGTGAATAAGTGACCCGTGTCTTTACCTGTGCCACGTACTCTTCACTCACGTTGCAGAAGAGTTTTTTTGGGAAGCCAAACCTGCACAAAGAGAGCTATCGTTATGAAAAGTACTGGAATAACCTAGTAATGCATGTCAACAACGCTGGTCATATACATTAAATGGCCCCTGCCACGGTTGTGGAATTTCTTAGGACTGTCAATGGACAGCCCAAGTCATTTTATAACGAGGCATGTTCACACTCTGCACGTACCTGTGGAAGGCCGTGGCAAGTGCCGCAACCACATGGGCTGCCGATTGGCCAGTCATGGGCGTGAGCTCGGCCCACTTGGTGAAGTAGTCGACAATGAGCAGCACAAAGCAGTGAGCGCGGCTGGTGGCAGGGAAGGGGCCCAGCAGGTCCATGCCCAGCACCTCCCAGGGGTACGAGGCCTTGAGCAGCTTCACGTGCGAAATGGACGATCTCTTGTAGCTCTTCTGCTTGCAGATTTCACAGGCATTGATCTGTGAATTGTAAACATCGCATCACGTAATGTACAGCTCTTCATCAACCTACTGCCGGATGAAATCGCCACCATACGTTACGATTTTTTGATGGAACAATCCGCCTAGACTCCTGTACATGGCTCCAGCTCCACATCGGGGTGTACTGCCCAAGACGGCTTACTTTTCTTAAGTCAATGTGATGTCTCTGAAAGGAGTGTGTTCTCTAATCCATGCGTTCCTTTTTCTGTCTCGCAGTGTAATCCCGGGTATGCATCTCTCCATGCTTCTTTGCAGCTTCTGTTCCATATTCTTTGTCAGAGTCGAGGTTCTCAATCCCCACGTGGCATCACCAGGGGCAATGGTTTCTCATTCTCAGCAGCTGAAACAACGCAACGATTTGACAGACAATACACTTGTCCAACACTGACGAGCACCAGAACATCAGTTGAATGGGTGAGTGTTGAGTGCTGGTGAATTGAGTATTGGCGAGTGTTGATAGCTGGTGATAATCGTCACAAGTTATCGATCGCCGGTGTGCGTCGTTGATCGATGGAAGTCGGTAAAATGTGGTGTTGGGTGAGAGTTATGAATTAATGGAGTGTGCGGACATTATGGAGGTTCTCCGCTGCTCCTGAGACGGTTATCTGGCTTGATCACCTGAATGTGAAATGGCAGTTGTTGTTCAGCACCTACATTAGCCGAACAAAAGAGAAGAGACGGAGGTTCTCACGTAGTCTCGAATGTCGTTGACCATTCCTTTCCAGTAGTAGTGCTCCTCCAGGAGCTTCCGAGTTCTCGTCTGGCCACAGTGATCGGCCCCGTGCACTCGCTGCAGGGTGCTTCGTTTGTCCTCCTCATTCATGACAACCAAACGCTTCCGGCCACTCTTCTGTCCAGTGTAATAAAGCTTCTTTTCTGCCAGGGAAAAAGAAATGTGTATGGGTAAAGTATCTCTCTAACCTCTCATTGTATTGCAGGGTAGATTATTTTTTATCGGATTAAATATGTTTAGCATTGAGGGGTTCAAGGAATCGCCATGGCTTAAGTTGCTGATGCCACCACATCTTGCCATTGGCTTCCTTCTGCCAGGTGCGTTGCACAGTTGACACCCAGAAGCGATTGGGGAGAAATGGGTTTCAGAACCCAGTCCAGGGACTTGGTTCTGCAGAGAAAAGGTTACGATGATGTGAGTGC